TATTTTCTGGGCAAAGCCTCGTTGTAGCTTGCCCAGTGTTTTGCGTACATAAAGCTTTTTCACAGATGGTGCCCAGGCCGCAGCAGCATAAGTAATAATAGGTTCTATTACAGTGTGATATATACTTGCGATAATATCCGAATTTAGTCCCCAGTTAATTCTGGCTGCTTTAGATAGCTGTTTGTAAATTTTGATTGCCTTATTACAAACGTTTTTTATATGGCCGTTAAATGTAAGTTTTTGATCTATTTCAACTCCCAATACTTTAATTTGTTTATCGATGCTGATTGGTTCTGAGTTCATGGTAAGGCGTGGGGTATAAAACTTATGTTTGCGCGTTACCACCATGGCTTTGGTCTTGTGAGGCGCAAATTTAAGTTTGTTTCGGGCACCCCACTCGTGTACGAAGGCAAGGACACGGTTGGCTTTCAATTGAATCTCCTGCCCACTGTTCCCTTCAAATATTATCAGTACGTCATCCGCGAATGCCTAAAAAAAAAAAAATTGGATTACGACGGCAAAAAATAAAATAGGGTGGTAATAGTTGGAGGAGGCTTTCTCCCGGTTAGAGGCCGCATCTTAGAGTAGTAAAATTGTATATTCTATATATCGTTATAATTGTTTATTTACAATCAATTAACAGTATTTACAATTTTCTTAACTTACAAAGTAATAATATAAATAATTAAAAATAATTTAAATGAAAATCAAAACAAATTTAATAAGTTTGGTGTGTGGCAGTGTACCTTTAACGCTGGCAGCATTTCCTCGCTGTATTGCGATACTTATTCGTTGAGCCAGGAAAGTGTCAGCTCTGGGGTCACCGGTACTATCTACTAGGCGCCAACTTAAATATTTAACAAGCGCCTGTGCACTTGAACCCCACGGCCCAAGAGTGTCTACTACAAAGGGAACAAAATCGAAGTAAAATAAATATATAAAAGTATATATATATATATTCTATATATCAATTTTTGTATAATATAGGTCCATAATATGGGGATGAATTTTTATTATTATTATTGATTCCCACTTTTGTAATAGTTAATTTTAGGATAGAAATTTGGACTTACGGCATGGTTTTTATTTAACAAAAAAATTACAAAAATATATAATAAATTTTTAAAATCGTTTCATCTCTAAACTTTAATTGCGGTCCATCCAATCGGCTAGGACGCATACCTGAAGTTCTAACTAAATAGAAAAAGTTTGCCTTGAAACCTTCTAAACCGTGTTTTTGTTATTGAAATTACCGGGAATTAAATGTGTGTGATATTCGCTATTATCTATTAAATTTGCTAACAAGTGAATGTTAAAATAACAAATTAATACGATGAGTATATTAAATTTCGTCAATTTTTTTTTTTTTTTTTAATTTTAAATAACATTTTATTTACACAAATACAGTATTTACAATTTTCTTAACCTATAAAGTAATAATAAAAAAGCTGGCGCGGCCGCAGAACAGGCAGAAATTAACAAACGGCACAAATATAAGAGTCTTTCCTCCAACTTCAATTTTGTTCCCTTTGGAGTAGAGACTCTTGGGCCGTGGGGTTCAAGTGCACAGGCGCTTATTAAAGATTTAAGTTGGCGCCTGGTAGATAGTACCGGTGACCACAGAGCTGGCACTTTCCTGGCTCAAAGAATAAGTCTCGCAATACAGCGAGGAAATGCTGCCAGCGTTAAAGGTACACTGCCACAGGGACCAAACTTTTTAAATTTGTTTTGATTTTCTTCTTTATTCTTTAATTAATTTCGTCAATTAATGTACAGTCAGGTCATGTCAATATTATATTTTCTATTTATTAAAAACAAATACACCTTTGAGTCAATCACCCAAAGCATAAGCGTAAAAATAGTTCGCCTGACTCAGTGTTAATATAAAATTTATCAAGTTTGTCAAGTTAATTTTATTTTATTACAATTATGTATAAAATTTAAAGCGTTTTCTGGTTTAATAGACTTGGCTTGATTTATTCAATGCATAACAGTCGGAGGCCTTATTTTAAGAGGGGTTTTATTCCTGGAAAAAGAAATTGTTGACGTTTTTGTGTTTAAAAATAAACTATTAGTTATCGAGGTGTTTACATGTTTAAAAATATATAAGAAAGAATATATTCTATCAATATTATTATATATTGTGTTTCTCGTCTCTAGATTGTCATTGTGAGTTGAAATCATTGGTCATGTAACGTTATTTTTTATAAGAATTTGTTCAAAACAACAAAAAACTAAGTTAAAAGAATCAAGGGTATCATCCTCCAATTATGTACTTATCAACAAAAAATGTTGAGTGTGAGTTGAAAGGTTATCAGTGACTATTTTGCATGAGAATCCGTCATCTTAAAATGTAGTTTTTCTTCAACTTTCAACTTTTATTTGGTTAATAGTGTTCCGATTTTTTTTTATGATTGTTATTTACTTTTTCACTGCTTTTCAAATTCATCGTTGCGTTCAATTTCAATTAATTCTCATTTTTTCAACTCCTGTATTTTTGCTGCTGGTGCCGCCATATAAAGTCATTACTTAAACCAATTTTCAAAATTCCCGAAAACTTTTCCAGGTTCTTCTGATAGCAGTCTCGAAACGGGTTTATCTATTAGGCAAAACTAAAATTGAGTTATATTTTAGTTTTGCCTGGGGTAAGGACTAGGACTAGATTTTACCCAGACATTTATTTATAAATTTGTGACTTGCACGGCGTCATGGTGTACCACAAATAAATCACATTTCTTTAACGACGTTAGTAAATTTATAACTATGCACGATATTTTCAGCTTTCTCTATTTACACGCTTAGTATGCTGCTACTTGCCCGATCTGAAAGATGTTATCATAATGCATTAAAACTATTCACTTAGTATTTACGCGCTTCTTATTATTGACAAATAAAGAAGTACGGTTGTAACATCCTATATCTAAAGTAAATGCGCCTTAAAAGAAGTCATTATTTAGATATTTAGAAAATTCTAGATTAGACTAGATTGACTCAGGTCAACAGGTTTCTTCAAAGATAATTAATGGTCCCACTGTGACTTCGCATGATGATCATTATATAATAGCTGCTGCCCGCAAGTTTAGCGTGATAAAGCGTCTAACGTAATCGTATAACAATAAAGCTAAACCTCTATCAATGAATTCCTATGCAACATAAGATAAAATTTCTAATGAGAATCAGAGATTTTTGGTAATTCGAGGTGCCCAAAATTATCAAAGACCGAAAGAGAGAAAGGGTTAAACGCTATTAAGACAAATCGAGTCAAAATGTATTTCTTAATATTGGTACACTTATTAAGATCAATATTTAAAAACGAAGGTCTAAATTTACATTTACTACCAGTTCAAGGGCATAAAGCGGGCGAGTCCCCAACAACAACAGGTTAAATTTTATTTAACTATTCTGTATATACAGATAGATATCTATTTAACTATTTGTTGTCTTAATTGAATCACGTCGCACTGTACAAGTGCCGTTAGGAAAAAGCGACAAAAGTCAAAAGTCAAAATCATTTATTCATATAGGTAACACAATGTACACTTATAAACGTCAAAAAGGACATATTATACATTAAATGCTTCTAATTTTACATTTAATGCCAGTTCTGAAATCAAGGGCGTAGAAAGAAAAGAGAAGAACTGGCAATAAACTCTCCGCCACTCTTTTTAATCGCCAAGTTTTTTATTTTACACAACTTTTGTAAGGCGCTGCAATTCTTACACCATATTCAAAACAAAGATTTGTCCTCTATCAGCAGGAGGCATGGTGAAATAGGAGCACGCACTTACATTCTCGTGGGAACAACACGCAAGTACATAGTCGAAATAACAAACATACAAAGCAGCTGAATTCTATAAATAATAAACACTTCTTCAGTCTACCTATAAAATTATTTTTATTATGTTATCGATCGTCCATCACCAGAAGATATTGTGGACAAAGTGTGCTAATGTTCAAAACTTTCTTAGAAGGATACAAATTCTAAGTTGATTTTATTCTAATATGCATTCGTTTTTTAATACTAAACGCCTGTGACCATATAATAGCAAAAATTGTTTTAGTTTAAGCAGGTTTTACGTTGAAAGATCGCTATTATTGTTTTCATGTTTTGTATTGTCCCCGACCTATTTCTGCGGCTGTTTCATTGATTACTTCTTAGGGCCTTTGCTTCGATTCCAAAAAATAATAATTGTATCATATTAGTTGGTAGATAGTATCTACTAATGTTAAAAAAAATTGTCGGGAAAATAAGGGGATCCAAATTGCATCCATCACGTCACGTCAATACTCCCTGTTTATTACACATTATTAATAAAACTAACGCAATAATGACGAAAGATGTTATCGGAAGTCATAAAATTAATGTTTTGATACAGCTAGTTACTACATCCATAGTCAAAAGATATCATTACATAGTTTTTTCCTAGATCGTTATTTGTTTTTAGATTTCATTGGGTTTGTACAGTGTTGGTTACAATGATTGGACTATGATTTCTATATTTTCAATTCAATATTCAACTGACGTTGTTCTGCATGGAAATCTTTTTCGGCAAACGAAAAATAATTCAGACGGCTCAGACTGGGAATCGAACCCACATCGTTTGGTTACTCGTACCTGAAAAACCAGCTGTTTAATTATTGCAGTAAAGATAAATAACCCAGATACCGAGATGCTCATTACAGCGCCATCTGCCGGGCTGATTTGTAAATCTAAACCATCCAGGGCGCCATTTATGAGGATTTCAGGTATATATAAGAATAATAATACAGCAAAAACTAAGTAATAATCTATTCTTGATTCAATTGTAAGTTAAAAATACTTTGCCTATTAATGAGTTTGATTTAAATCGTGATCCTCCAGTTAGTATATATTGCAAAAACTTAACATTAATAGAATTTTGAGTCTTCTTATAAGTATGTATAGAAAAAAAAGGTAATTGCTTCATAGGTAATAAAAGAAACAAACAAAAAATTGTTAAATAAGAATAATAAAGTCAATCTCATTTATTATTATCTAAATCAACATTTAGCCCAACATTGTTATGTTCAAACAATTTACCAAATAGTGAACTATATAATTCATTAGTACTTTCATCATTCCACTTTGTCCCTTTCTCCGATGCCATATAACTGACCAATGGGTTATGTACAACATATTTGATCTTTCTCCCCTTAGTAGCTTTTGTGTCCACCTTTCTTTTCATTTTACTTCTCATTTGCTGCAATGATATCCACTGACGACTTAACTGTACAGGATCTGTAATATCAGCTGATTTACATTCAATCAATTCTCTTAAAAGTTGATGGTAGAAATCACTGTCATCAAATATTTCCATAATGTATTCATCATCATCTTTTCTATTTTTAGTTGTGGGGTTTATTTCAGAGACTTCTTTGGATTCTTCCTTCTTATAGCCAATGATTTCATATTCAGATCGCTTAAGCTGGGTTCTCTTAATAAGTTTTTCTCGATCAGAGAGAATGAAAGATATCTGTTGAAGGATAGTATTTGTTGGTGCAGTTTTGATATTTGCCGCTGTGGCAATTCTAGTCTTTTCATTCCATTTTTGTATGGTGGAATCTCTAAATTGCTTGAATTTCTTATGAGCAGTTACAATCTCCTTTTCAAAGTCCTCAAGTTTACGTTTTTTAGGTACCTTTTTCATTATTGCTTCATTTATTTTATTATTACCAATAGATTTTTCTGATTCTGTGTCAGATGGAATTTCTTCATTATCTGTATCACTTGGAATTTCTTCATCACTCTCTTCATTCTTTTGTTTTCCATTAGTGACCAGCTTTGCATTAGCAGATAAAGCTTTTGTTTCAGGAAATTTGCTTAGCATTAGATTCTGAAGTGTTATAAATCTGAAAAGATCAAAAAGGGTTAAAGTTTTAAGAATTACATTTATGTTTTAACTGTAAAGTATAAAAAATTATTAGATAAAGAACAATCTTACAAAATTTGTTATTGCTATAATTATTCATGAACAGTAGAGGATTATTGCCTAAACAACTAAAAAAGATATTCATAACTTACTTTTCTAAGAGAGTTGAAACGTTTCTAATTGTTGCATTGCTCTCCTCAACAAAATCATTTTTATTCTTCATCTTTTCATATATATCATTCATTGGCATCATATTAGCAGTATTTATGCATCGTTGTAGATGTATCCTCATTTCCAAAAGTCCTTCCCATAACAATAATTGGTTCCTTACACATATGCCTTTCTTTGCTTCCTCTGAAACATCCTGTTTTTTAATGTGCTCAAAATTTTCTTTTATGGGCTCTTCAAGTTGACTTATATCATATCCTTCTCCTCCGTCATCATCATTATCAGAACCGTCATCAGTCCCACTATTAGATGGTTCTGCATCGGAATCACTTTGCAGTTGTTTTTGAAACTTTGTTATGCTGTAATCATCACTTTCATCTCCTTCGTCTGACGGCTGTTTACTGTGCTCATTACTTCCATGGATGTCGTTTTCACTATCTTCCAAAGAGTCTTCCGCTTCTTCTTCACTATCCTTCTTTGAAACCACTTCACCTTCATATTTTTTACTTATATCGCTAAGTAAGTTAATGTTTTGCTTCCTAAAGTCACTAATAGTAGCGTCATCTTCGTCTGAAGAACTATAATCAACACGTGAAACCGTATTAGGTTTCGATCCGAATATGTGATCATCTTCAATATCCGCTCGTGGTTTTAAAGTTAAGGAATCTGCGATTTTATCGGATAGTGTCTGTTTTGAAGGTTTTTTTATTTTATATTTCATGGTTTTCTTTTATTTTCGACGTAATATCCTGCAATGTGAATTTTAGGTAATATTTTTATTTCTAATGAATCTAATCTTCAACCATAAGTATTTGACACGAGCTTACAACGTGCTTCTGACGTTCCAACTTCGAGTTATATGACAATGACATACCATTGACTGAAATCATTTATTAGAAGTAATTAAAGTTAGCGTAAAAAGAAGTTATACTTATATGTTACTAATATAAACACTGGGTAGAAAACTGAAAGAATCATGAAAAACAATAATAAAAATATAAGCACTATAAACAGAATTTATAGAATGGTCGTTTTGTTTAGTTTTGTCAGTTGTCAAACATCATACAACAATAACTGTGGTCTGTGATGCAAATTAGGTTTTTAGGCGCGAAAAATGACAAAAAGTCAAAAAGAAAATTCAAAATATTTATAACAATTAACAATGTGCAGGCCAAGAAAGGGGGAAAAAAAGAAAACAATTAACTATATTCGCTCATCAGATAAACTAATAGTTTTCAGGCTTAGGTAGACTTATCCAGCCGATCATAATAAGTATAGTTTATTGTGACGACAAATACAGAAGCACTATGCCTAAAGGACGAGATACTACCAAGTCCGTAACTTGGTTAAGTGAAGAAATATCCAACCAATATAATTTCTCAACCACATTTCATTATTACAAGTAAGCATTATAAATGTTTTATTATTTATGGTATTCAAAAGATGCCTACTTTAACGTTAAGAAAACTAGTATAATGGTCTGATCTGAACATACGAGTGTTTCTAGTGAGGGACAGCTAAATATGTACATATAAACGTTGATAAATATATTTAAGCTGAGCATAATTATAATTTTGTCTATTTGCAGAAAATTTCAATTCAAAGAAATAATCGCTGAAGTAGGCGACTATGTATTAGTGTCAAATGCTGATTCTGCAGAACCTGATACCGAAGAAGGCTGTGATGCAGCTAAAATACTTGCATTATATGAAGATAAATATAATAAAAATGATCCATTTAGAGCAAAAGTTCAGTGGTATTCAAAACCTAGTGATTTGCCTAAAGGGTGCTTGAATAGTCAAGTATCTATGGACTTTTCTGAAAAAGAGGTAAATATGTGTCAATATTAATTTATACTTTCTTATTCTATTATATTGATATCTTATGTATTATGTTAAAATTTAATTGTGTGTGCATTTTGAAATAATAAAATAATACTCATAAACTGAATGTTATAATATTTTTAGGTTGTGGAGGATCACCGTCCTTTTGACACAGATGTGTCTATAGAAACATTCTTTAAAGAATGCCACATCAACACTACTTTTACCAGTGACAATCAAATAAGTTCCAGAAAACCTTATCATTACATTTGCAGATATAGGCTTATACCAATCACTAAGAGAAAAGTTAGATTAGAACCAGTATTAGAAGAAGAAAGACATGCTTTAGAACTTTTAGTGACTCCTAAGAAAAGTACAACACCTAAAACGCCCAACAGCTTAATAAAAAAGATGAGTAGAGCAACTATTTCAGAAAGAAATTGGAGTATAAGTAAAAATGATGGCACAAAACTGTTGCTTAAAAGAGCAATATTATCTGATAAAAATGATAAAGAACCTTGTAAAACTTCAGAAAGTTACTCTCCTGCCATTGAGAAAACTATAAATGTTTCACAAAGTTATAACGAGATTGAGGAAATTCAGTTACTGAAATTAAAAGAAAACTCAAATGGAGAACTTCCAACACTAATAATTAGAAAACATATACCAACAACACCTAAACGAAAAATTCCTTCACAACAGTCTCCATCAAGAAATACAATACATTTGACACCTAAAAAAAACTTGATTTTTGAAGAAGAAAAATGTTATGCAACTCGATCTGGTAGAAAGACTAAAAACCCTGTATCATATTGTGAATCTGAAGTATCCCCTGTGAAAAAAACTCCTCAAAGGAGTCGTAAGGTGTTAGACACGAGTGATGACTTTTCAATGACCACAAGAACTCCGAGATCTTCAAGGACACCGAGAGTATCCAAAACTCCTAGAACTTCACTGGCAAAAACTCCAAAAACTGTTAGAAGAATTTTAACTAGTGAATTAACTCCCACACTCCATTCAAGGGCTCATTCTGTTGAAAATATTGATGGTAATTATTAAAACCTAACCTCACGGCTTACATGTTTTAGGGGAAGTTTGTTTAGTTTAGTTTTTAGCAAAGACTGATCACTTTTCTATAAAATTTCTTTAACTTTCTTATTACACAATTGTACAAACTATTTTTTATGTTCCAGATTTCACAAAAGACAATAGTTCTCTACCGGGAAGAGAAGCTCAGCTGGATGAAATACTATCTTTTGTGAGATCAAAATTACTAAATAATTTGAGTGGGTAAGTTATATTTTTCATAAGCTGTTTAAATCATGTAATAAATTTAAGCTATGATATATATATTATATGATATAAATATATCATTATTTGATTATTCAATCAATTCTTTAGATGCATGTACATATCGGGAGTGCCGGGAACCGGTAAGACGGCTACTGTTAACACAGCTTTAAAGATTCTGAAAGAGGAAGTAGATCTACCTGAGTTTCAGCTCGTAGAGGTTAATGGAATGCGAATAGCTGAGCCCCGACAGGCTTATGTTCAGATCTATAAGCAGCTGACAGGTTGGTTTTAGGCAAACATTGAAGTCTTTAATTCTAAGAACTATTGCAAAACATCCATACTCTCGATTTATTGCTATAAAACAGTATTGCTGTTTGCAAGTGTATCACTATAATTCTTGATTTTATTCCATTTATATTCACAGATATTTTTTAAATATATATTTCCTAAACAATCCCATCAGATCAGAGGTCACAACCTCTATTATAAAGATATGTCTATTGTTACTTCAAATTGTCTCGAATTTGTTTGTTGCAGGCAAATCTGTAGTGTGGGAGCAGGCCTGTGCCCTTCTAGAGAAGCGGTTCACTAATTCCGGACCGAGAAGAGTGCCAACAGTCCTGTTGGTGGATGAGGTGTGTACTCTTAGAGATGTTTTCAATAATTCAATCAATTTCTAGTGTGGTTCTCATTATTATTATCACAAGTTTTCACAGCATGCGAGAGAGCTTCGATCAAAATATATCCGCGCGTCGTAGACTTTACAGTTAAAAATACTAGTAGTACTCAGTCGACCAAAGACAATTGTACTAAATCATTTGTTTTTTTAAAAATAAGTTTTTACATAGATACTCGAAACTCAAAACCTTTCAGTTGGACGCCCTCTGCAACCGAAGGCAAGACGTGCTGTACAGTATAATGGAATGGGCGGCCCACAACACGGCACAGTTGACCGTGCTGGCCGTGGCCAACACCATGGACTTGCCCGAGAGAGCTTTGGCGGCTCGCGTGGCCTCTCGCCTGGGCTTGACCAGGCTGCCGTTCCCTCCGTACACTCATACGCAACTGCAGTGCATCGTGGCCACTAAACTGGCTGGAGCCAACGTCACGCCGGATGCTGTCCAACTGATTGCCAGGTGAGTTTTATTATCTAAATATATATATACTGCTCAAAACAATCAGCGGAACAAGATTTTTCTCCTTTCTATTGCTTAAACTAAAATTAGATTTAAATTAACTTGTGCGCTATTTTTTACCTTGTTAATTACTACAATTAAATAAAAAATTCAATTTGTATTTTTTTTATTAAAAAAAAATTAAAATGTGCATTGTAGACGAAAAACAAAGTGACGTCTTTGAATTTTCATTACTTTCTAATCACAGAAAACACATTTTAAGTAGTTTTTTTCAATCTTTTGAGTATTAATAGAAATTGAAGTGAGCCTTTTGAGTATTGTTATTCATTGAAGCGAGTGAGTTTAGGTCATAATGCCAGATCTGACTGAATTGCATGTCTCCCGAGCTATCGCTTTGCTTGAAGAGGGTCGAACTATGCGTTATGTAGGAAATGATCTAGGAGTAGCCCCTTCTGTTATCTACAGACTTTGGAAGCGATACCGTGAGACGGGAGAATACTCACGAAGGCGTGGTCAAGGTCGAAAGAGAAAAACTACACGTTTGCAAGATCGCTACATCGTCAACTGTGCTTTACGTAACCGCACCACAACTGCAAGAGATCTACAAAATACACTTAGGACGGGTCTTGGTGTAGAAATTTCCGACCAGACGGTAAGAAATAGGTTGTTGGAAGCCAATTTGAGATCACGCCGACCAGTTCGGACTGTGCGTCTAACAATTCAACATAGACAAGCTCGCCGACAGTTCGCGCAAAATCACGCTAATTGGCAACTTCGACATTGGAGGCCAGTGCTTTTTACTGACGAACCACGATTCCGTCTAACACGTTGCGATGGTTGTCTCCGTGTTTACAGACGCCCAGGCGAGCGATACAGTGCAGCAGCAGTCCAGGAATATGACAAATTTGGATGTGGCTCTGTGATGGTTTGGGGTGGAGTTAGTTTGGACGAGCGCACAGATCTCGTCGTTGTTCCCGGGCGCTTGTGTGCTCAAACTTACATTGAAAATGTGCTCGAAGATCATGTTTGGCCCGCAGCATATGGTATGGGCCCAGATTTTCTTTTAATGCAAGATAATGCCAGGCCGCATACTGCAGCCATCAGATTACTTACGACAGCAAGAAATCCGTGTAATGGAGTGGTCTTCCATGAGCCCTGACCTAAATCCAATTGAACACAGTTGGGACTTGCTTGACAGGCGCATCCGTAAGCGTCCGATTGCACCTCAAACACTGGAGCAGCTCACTGAAGCGTTGATTGAAGAATGGGAGCGAATTCCACAAGAAGATATTCGGAGGATCATACGAAGCATGCCGCGTCGTTGTCAAGCCGTGATTAGGGCTCATGGAGGCCACACACGTTACTGAAAGTCACTAAAGACGAATATTCAAACGATATAAGAATATTTCTTTGATGGACCTTTTTTATCACCAATTAGTTTTTCGTCTACAATGCACATTTTAATTTTTTTTAATAAAAAAAATACAAATTGAATTTTTTTATTAATTGTAGTAATTAACAAATTAACAAGGTAAAAAATAGCGTACAAGTTAATTTAAATCTAATTTTAGTTTAAGCAATAGAAAGGAGAAAAATCTTGTTCCGCTAATTGTTTTGAGCAGTATATATATATATATATATTTTACAGCTTACAATGAAAAACTCGTTGCCTATTGTGATTTTAATTCAGGAATTGAAATTGAATTTAAATAGGAAAAAAATAATTTATTAATAATGTCAATTCTATGTGAGTTATTCTAAAAATATATATGTAATAGACCACAAGCCCATGAACAAAAAATACCTGTGAAATGACCCAACCTGAATTACGCTTAGAAGGCTGTTACTATATCTGAAAATAGCTCTGAGCACTATGCCGTCATTTCTGAGCGGTACATGTGAGTACGTGAGTGAATGGACTTTCTCATGTACAATGGGGGAATTTCGACTAATTATTAATGTACGGCTTTGTTATAAGTGTATAGATGATTAAAAATAAATGTCGAAAAACCTAGTGCCGTACAAAAGTGATGGTGCCGGAAGTCGGTGCAAATTTTTAATTCGACGACAGTTGCAGGAGCAATATAGGTCATTTATTACTGTACGGCATTTGTGTGATTCCTTTTGGACACATATACAGATACTTTACCCGTAAACGCCGTACATATTTCCAGCGGAGCGGTCGGAACCCTACCCCTACACCCATATACCCTAAGGTCATTGTAAAATGTACGGCAACATGTTCAAAATATTATTTAACACGGACAATAATGTTTTATAATTATGCCGTCCAAATATTATAGTTAATATTTGTGTAATTAAATATTTATCGAAATTTCAGGATTTACCAAGTTCTTACTGCTGTAAGATCAGAGAATAATGTACGGCAACTTGTTTTTTTACATAATGTTACTAAATATTACCGTTGTACATTATAGCCGTTCATTATAAATGGTAACAAATAAAAATATTATGATAAAAAATATATGAAATTTCCGAAATTTAGATGACTTTTCAAATGCTCCTAGAGTAATATGGGGAGTAATATTTTCAAAGATTATTGTTATTTTATATGTAACAAATATAAATAAACAAAAAAAACCAGATGCCGTACATTTTACTCCAGATTATTCTTTACAGCTGATCAAAACTTCGACGACGTTTGAGGTGTCCCTTAAGGTCATTAATAACTGTACATATCTGAGTATACTACCATAAGGCTGTAAAGTATATTTACAGCCTTATCGTACCAGCAGAGAGAGGTAAAGGAAAAATATTTTTAACAAAAATATATATAATACAGGGCGTCCCAAAGTTATGAGACATGAAGGGAAAGTACCTTAAATATCGCAGATAGGGTATTTTACTAAAAGAAGACTTTATGTTATTTATAAAAGTTAGTAATTCTGCATTCAAAGATTTTTTTAAAACTACTTGCCTCGTCTGGAAATCGAACCGGCTTAAATTAAAAAAAAACACCCCTACTTTTATGATGCCAATCGAAAGAATGGCCAAAACCTAATAACTTTTCTAAAGTAACAGACTCGTAGGGGATTTTTTTAGGCCGAATACGATAGATAATGTTTTTAATTTGATTAAAAAGATATATTCACGCTGTTCCTTTCTTTTAAAATACTATGTTACTTAAGAAGAGTTATTAGTTTTTGGCCATTCTTTCGATTGGCATCATAAAAGTAGGGTGTTTTTTTTTACATTTAAGTCAGTTCGATTCCCAGACGAGGCAAGTAATTTTAAAAAATCTTTGAATGCAGAATTAATAACTTTTAAAAATAACATAAAGTCTTCTTTTAGTAAAATACCCTATCTACGATATTTAAGGTACTTTCCCTTCATTTCCCATAACTTTGGGACGCCCTGTATTGGTAGGCGGTGGTAGCGGACTATCGAAAGTGTACGGCATTTATCTTTTATTGAAGATTGTCTAAAGTATTAATAACCTGTGTTATTGCCGCACAGATAAAAGTCACCGGAAAATGACTCTTTTCTGAGAAAAGTAATTTACCCCATACACCTATGTGTTCCACAAAAAATGTACGGCATGCTGGAAAATGTTATCTATTTGTGAAGTACTCTCAAGATCATTTAATTTTATGTTGATTCATATCATCATCACCTATATGCTAATCAGACATATGTTGCGACCCTTGGCTTTCGACCGCTCCGCTGGGAATATGTACGGCGTTTACGGGTAAAGTATCTGTATATGTGTCCAAAAGGAATGACACAAATGCCGTACAGTAATAAATGACCTATATTGCTCCTGCAACTGTCGTCGAATTAAAAATTTGCACCGACTTCCGGCACCATCACTTTTGTACGGCACTAGGTTTTTCGACATTTATTTTTAATCATCTATACACTTATAACAAAGCCGTACATTAATAATTAGTCGAAATTCCCCCATTGTACATGAGAAAGTCCATTCACTCACGTACTCACATGTACCGCTCAGAAATGACGGCATAGTGCTCAGAGCTATTTTCAGATATAGTAACAGCCTTCTAAGCGTAATTCACGTTGGGTCATTTCACAGGTATTTTTTGTTCATGGGCTTGTGGTCTATAACTTTTCGGAACACTGTTTTGAACACTGCCTTTAGGAAAGTAGCCGCAGTATCAGGCGATGCGCGTCGGGCCATAGCACTATGTACACGCGCCTTAGAACTGGCGGAAGGACAGGCCGGCCTCCTGGAAGTTCAGAAGGCTCTCAACGAGGCGGCTTCCAGTGCCACAGTCAGAGCTATCGGATTTTGTTCACAGGCTGAAAAATTAATGCTCAGGGCCGTGGCTGCCGAGGTAACTCACTTATATTTTAACGTGACAACGTCAACAAAACATTGATGAAATTATTGCATTCTTTTATAAATAAAATTGAATTATTTTTATTGAATTACCTCTATTTTGTGTGATTACTTAGGAGTGAAATGAAATCTATAATTTCATTGATAAATTTACTTTTCGGGACGAACTTCGGACGGACAATGAGCGTAACGGGACAACGAGTCATGCTTTTTCGTGCGTACAGCCGGCGTTAAATATCCTACCAAAACATTATTACGCTCCCCGTTTATATTGAAATTGTATTTGTAAAGAAAAATTACATTCAAAATTTTTATAAATATTTATTTTACAAATAGATGGTATGTGTTCTGTGCCTTATATAAGGTATTTCTTTAATGTGAGACATTAATCGTTGTATACCTGTGATAAGATATAGTTGACGCGTGAACCTCTAAGCTACTGAGGCTAAAGATCATATATTTCAGGTGGAACGTACAGGCTCAGACGAGACAACATTGTCCAAAGCGTTAGCGACCGCCGCTGCGATAGTGGCGTTGGACGGGAGGCCGTATCGGTGCGCTACAAGCATACGAGCCCCGACTCCAGCTCAAGCCCAAGCCATATGCGCAAGATTAGCAGCACTCAAACTCCTCCTGCTGGAACCGAAGCCGTCGGAGCCGAGACTCCTATTGAACATCAGCACTTCCGATGTGTACTATGCCACTAAATGTAATATTAGGATGGATGCATAAATATTTACATTGAACACTCGCTAATATTTTCCTTTCATTCACTTCGGCAAAGTATTAAACACATTAAAACAGCGCCCCTGGTGGGTACGCGTGGAGCTAATTTATTTCTACTTTTTAAAGTTGTGGCAGAACTAGTTACAAACGGATATAACTTTACGTAACTCTTAGATATAACAATAATACAAATGCACAAATATCAAAATATAAATAAATAATATAAAATAATAGTAAAGTACAAAGAAATTTAAAAAGATACATATAACCAAAAACTTACCAATGATATAATAGATGAATATGAAACTTATGAGTTAAATTTGACTATAAGAAAATTGTTCTATTTTGAAAATTCATAACTGATGTATCATAACTACTTTGAGTGAATAATAAGTGCCTTTGTTATTGATAAATTAAAAGAAAAATGCCTCCAGAGTACAATTTAATTGACTTATCATAGACATTGTTATTTATAAGACGTGAACTGATCGCTTGATTAAACATTTGAAGTATCTTTGTGGTATTAATAAGAATCTCCAACTCGCAATATTTGAATAAGTGCCTCTGTATTATTATCTTGAACAGCTTTTCTGCACGCCGTTACAACTGCTTTGCCGTATTTACCAACTGAAATGCATAAGTACGTTTTAACAGCGAAACTGCCGAATTAAAAAACAAATTCAGTGACGATACAACCTTTTAAGGACTCATTCTGTATCTATTTCATGATCATTTGTCTATATATAATCTAATAGTCAAGTAGGATCGGCTTCCTGTGCCTAACACGCCGACAAAGGCAAGCCGGTTTCCTCACGATGTTTTCCTTCACCGTTTGAGCGAATGTGAAATGCGCAATGAAAAAAAATTATATTTATTGGTTATCGAACCATCAGCCGGGAATCGAACTTTCGACCTCAAGAATGAGAGTCGCACGCTGAAGCCACTAGACCAACACTGCATTTTAGTTAAGGAAACCGATTTATCGTAATAATACATCAGATTCGATTCCTGACGACTATCTTAGACGTAATATACACATATTACTAACAGAAACACACACAAAATAACAATAATCAAAGAAAAAAATAAAATATAATGAGGGATATAAAAAAATATTTTTTTTTCACTATTACCATTCGGTTCTTTTCAACAACACTTCTCAGGCAAGATAAATTAAAATGACACATATTTGTAACTCAACTTCAGTTAAATCGGTAACCCTATCAAGTCTATCAAATTCATAATTTAAATGACATTTTTAAGCTCACTTACCCCGAAGTCTCGCCGCTTGTTGGAGTATACCATGAAGGTTTTTTAAAGAGGTTACTGTTTGTTCCTGTGATGATCGTCGCACGTGACATCCAATTAGTAATTCGTCATTAAGTAGCATAACTTCTTTATATCGATTTAACATTTCTTTTCTAAAACAAAAATTTTAATAACCGACGTTTCTAAAGTACATGATTTAATATTACGCTAAAACTTTATATTAACGGAAGCTAGATTTTTTTAATTCTCGTAGAAAGGTTGTTTGGCGAGGAATTTGAAGCCTCGTACCTCTTTTCTAAATATGTGCGTGGAAGACGATCGTAGAATATATTATAAACACACGTTACGATTAAATCAAACACTAAGAAGAAAAATTATACTATTACATGTCATAAGACGCAGCATCTATAGCAGCCGGCAGTAAAGCTGTTATCATTTGAGCTTTCTCAGCGCTTTCGGCTGCCAATCGCGACCTTGTTTCACCGTGCTCGTTCGCATTAAACATTTCAGCCCATAACTTTTCCTCTGCGACCGGAAAGTGTGCGCATGTCTGTAAAAAAGGTTTAGATTAACAACTTTTTGAAGTTATACTTTTTAGGCGCGTTATGAAAAATTGATGAGTGAAATTTTACGATGCGCGCGCACTGTGACACAAAATTAACAGAATGAAGTTGCCCACGGAAGATGCTACGGCATTGGACATAATTTAAAAACAACATTCGAATAATAATAGAATTGATGTTACACTTAAGCGGGCCATAGACGGACCGCATGTTGCAGTCAAGACTGCTCGAGCGGTCCGTGTATTGCGAATATGAATTTAGTATGGAAACTGCAGATCGCCGTGCGGCGACCGCATATTGCAGTCGGTCTAGACTGCAACATGCGGTCCGTCTATGGCCCGCTTTAATGTAAGAGAATAATAATAAATATTTATTTAATTTTTCAAATGTAAACTGAACTGTATTAACTACACTCGGCGTCAAAAAAATCGCACATTTCCTACAATTCGTGTCAAGCGATTATAACTCCGAAGATCCTTCCTGTACCCTATCATTATTAGTATCATTTGAAAGCTAATTAAATCCCTTATTTAAAAACGGTAGGAAATTGGCCACCACCCCCATTAAAAAAGAAAATTCTGGGAAAATGTGAAACAATGTGTATTCTGATCAAAATTACAAATAAAAGGAACAATACAAAAATTAAAAATAAACAATGACAATCCTTAAAAATTAGTTTAAAACCTAGTGTTGCCTCCTCTAGCCCTCCGACCAGCTTCCAAGCGGTCAGTCATGGACCTGATGAGCGTCACGACGTGTTCCTGGGGAATGTTGTCCTACTCCTCGATGACGGCATCTCGAAGCTCATCGAGAGAGGCAGGAGCTGGATTACGGACCCGAACTCGCCGTTTCAGCTCGTCCCAGAGGTGCTCGATAGGATTGAGGTCGGGGCTTCTTGCTGGCCAGTCCATAACCTTGATGCCAACTCGACGTAGGTAGTCCTTGACAATCAAGGCTGTGTGGCACCGGGCGTAGTCGTGCATGAACTCGAAGTTGGCGCCGACAAAACCTGCACATGGAACCACATGCTCCTCCAAAACCTCGGTGATATACCGGTGGGCAGTCAGAGACCCCTGGCCGCGACCATCTCCAGCTCTGGAGACGCACACGAGGTCTGTCTTGCCGTCGATAGAAATACCGCCCTAGAAAATGCAGGATCCTCCTCCATACCCGACGGTTTCCACGGTGCAGGCTGGTGTGAAACGCTCCCCTCGCCGCCTGTAGACTCTCTTACGCATGTTGTTGGTGTACAGGCACACTCGGGTTTCGTCGGAGAACAGAACATTCCTCCACTGGTCGAATGTCCACGGCAGGTGCGTTTCGTAAAATCGCTTCCTTTTCGTCCGGTGGATGGCAGTCAATAGGGGGCCTGTAGCAGCTCTCCGGGGCAGCAAATTCTTCTCTCACAGACTTCTTCTGATAGTAGAGACGCTGTCAGCTGTCCTTCGAGTAGCTCAAAGCCGCTGCTGCAGCTCCACAGCGTTGAAGAAGCGGTTCCGCAAAGACGTCGACACAATGGAGCGATCACCTCTGACGGTAGTGCAGCGACGTCTCCCGGATCCATGTCTCCTGATGTAACCTCCAGTCTCTTGGAACCGTTGGTATACCCGTTGCATTCGAAATCGGCTGATTTTCAGTTGCCGAGCAACTTCAACCTGCCGTAGTCCGATTTGCAGTAGGGCCACCACTTGAGCTGCTTCTTTGCCATGGTATCCATTTTCACTGGGTTTTTTCTTGTCGAAGCTCTTCAGGAGTGACCTCTGTGACGTCTGGATAGCGAATAACCCATCATTGACTTTTACCCACTCGTTATATACGCGTCCAGGGTGGTACAATTAGTGAGCCTCCAAACGCGTACATCGCCACTTTTTAATCAAAGTGCTGATGATTTGTGGTTTTTGATTTTCCGTAAACAAATGATAATTTTTTTGAAAGCTTATTAATTGAGCTTTTAAATGATACTAATAATGATAGGGTACAGGAAGGATCTTAGAAGTTATAATCGCTTGACACGAATTTTAAGAAAGGTGCGATTTTTTTGACGCCAAGTGTATAATGACTCCTTTTCCAGTCTTTGATTAAAATAAATAAAATAAAAAATAAAAATAAAAATAGCCTTTATTCGAGTACACTATAACTACAGTAAGTCTATGTCTTTTAAGTTTTACACTTGTACTCGACCTCCGATGGAGTGAAGGCCTCCTCCAGATTCTTCCACTTATCCCTATTTGATGCGACAATTTTCCAGTTTTTTCCCGCTATCCCTTTTATATCGTCTTCCCAAGTTTTCGGTGGGCATCCTCTCTTTCTTCTTCCCACTGGGCCCTTCCAAGTAAGGGTCTTTTTGACCCATCTGCCATCACAAATGCGGCCAATGTGACCGGCCCATTTCCATTTTAGCCTTTTTGTATAAGTTACAACATCTTTTATTTTTGTACGACTTCGTATCACCTTGTTTTTTATTTTGTCTTTAAGCTTCAATTGAAGAATGGAGCGCTCCATAGCCCTTTGGCATACTCCAATCTTTTTTATTAACGCCTTGTTAAAAATCCAGGTTTGGCATCCGTATGACAAACATGGAAGTATGCATGTGTCCATGACTGTTCTTTTTATAGTTAAGTTATGGTTGGATTTCAGTACTTCTTTTAAAGCCCAATATTTGTTCCATGCTAGGTTTACACGTCTATTTGTTTCTTCCACATGTCTGTTTTGACTAAACGATATTTGTTTTCCTAGGTATATGTAGTTTTGGACATATTCAAGAGACGTGGCGTTGACAAAAATTGGTCGTTCTTTGCTGTTAGTCATAACTTTAGTTTTGGAGGTATTCATTTCTAGGCCAATGCTTTTACTTGCGCAGACTAATTCGTTAAGCATGTCTTGTAGCAGCGTCGCACTGTTTGAGAAGATAACTATATCGTCGGCGAATCTCAAGTTGCTTAGATACTGACCATTTATTTCTATCCCTTTTTTCTCCCATTGAAGGGTGTTCATTACGCTTTGTAGAACCGTTATAAATATTCTAGGTGACAAAGGATCGCCTTGTCTTACGCCTCTGCATATTTTTATTTCTGGGCCAATTCTGTCTAACTTCACGCGGCTTACGCTTTGCTGGTATATATTTTGTATGAGTTCTATTATTTCATAAGGAACATTACATTCACCAAGAGCTTGCCACATGCTTTTGTGAGATATGGTGTCAAAAGCTTTGGCGTAATCAACGAAACCTAGGTATAGGGGGCAGTTTTGGTCGATATATTTTTCTATAATCATGTCTAAGGCATGAATATGATCTATAGTAGAGAAGCCTCTTCTAAAACCAGCTTGTTCTACTGGTTGATATTCTTCGGTATATTTTGACAAGCGTGGTTCTAGACAGGAAGCGAACAATTTGTACATACTAGGTTGCAAGCTTATCGGGCGGTAGTTGCCCACATCAGTCGGGTCCCCTTTTTTATATAGTAAAATTATGTCAGACCGTGCCCATTCTCTGGGTATTTTTCGTGAATCCATAACCATATTAAAAAGCCTTGTTATGGGGGTTGCTAACAAAAATCTTCCAACTTTTATAGCTTCATTTGTTATGCCATCTGGTCCACAGCTTTTGTCTACCTTTAATTGTTCCATAGCTTTGATAACTTCATAAGTTGAAAATCTTTCAGTCGATAAGTTGTTGTGATGGATTTCGAAATTTTCTGTATTATTAATTATATTATTATTAGGGCCATATAACTCCTTGTAGAATTTAGTAGCTACCTCAATTATTTTGGATCTAGAGTATGTTGTCGATGATGAACTGGTTTTTATTCGAGGTATCCATTGTTTGGTTCTGTTAGGTGCTCTAAAACCTTTTTTTATACTCCTTGATTCTGTTAGAAACTTCTCTAGTACCTGTAATCTATGTTTTTTATTGTCTTGTTTAATCATTTTATGTATATTTTTATACAGATATGTTCGTTCCTTCTTTTCTACGCTGCTTAAATGTGTTTTACGTGTCAACTCGTTTCTTCTGGATATCAGATCCTTTATGTGATTTGAGATAATATAACCTTTTCGATTATATCTATTTTTAGTTTTTAATGTAACGGCTCTTATGCTTCCCGTAAGTGACGTCTTAATTTGGTCATAATATTTGTTTACGTTGCCTTCATCAATATCTTTTATGTCTTTTATTTTGGTTTCTAAAGTTTTTAAATATGACCCTTCCTCTTCTGGGGACTTAAGATAAGAGTATGCACTATTTTTATATTTTACCCGACTCTTTTTTAGGTCTTTTACTATATATGTGCATCTTACAAGACTGTGATCGCTGGCAAATGATAGATTGTGCACCACTTCAATGTTTTGTATATGTCGCATGTCATTTGTTAATATATAGTCAATTTGACTTCTTCGCTTTTTGGGGGAAAGCCAGGTCCATAGGTTTTTTAGCTTCTTTGTAAATTGGGTATTTATTATCTTTAAGTCGTTTTCACGGCAAAATTGCAGGAGCAGATCTCCTCTTTGATCCCGTTTACCAAAGCAATTTGCACCCATTACTCTTTCTTCACCAGGCAACCTTTTTCCTATTCTAGCATTAAAGTCACCTGCTAATATAAACTGCTTGTTGCAGTGCTTCATAGCATTACGTACTTGTTCATAGAATTTCTCTATCTCATTGTCGCTTGCTTCGGAAGTGGGTGCATGGACTTGGATAATAGACATATCTAAATTTATTATTTTTAAATTTAAAATGCAGATTCGTTCTGATACACCAATAAAACTCTCAATGTATTGCTTGAGTCTTTTCTTTAAGAGAAACCCTACGCCTAAGTGTCCCTTTCTTTCACCGAAGTAACAAAATATATGTTCACTATCCTCTTCAATGTTATATCCTTCTCTTCTTATTTCTGATAAGCCAATAATGTCATACCTTATTGAAGCAATACTTTCTTTAAATTCTAGGAGTTTTTCGTCTGATGATAGTGATCTCGCGTTAAAAGTACAAATAAATATATGGGAAATTTCTGTTGCGGGAGAGATGTGATGTGGTGAGTGAGATCTGTTGGAATTGATTGTATTTGTTAAGAATTGTGAATTAGGAGGGTAGTAGTCGCTGAGCCCCACGGTGACCAGCCGGCTTGGGGTGGTAAGTGCATGTTTTCTTTCGTTGTCCTTTGTTGGTGTTGATCTACAGTTAGCATTGTTTTTGTTCCGGTTGTCGGGGGTAGTTAGTTGTTTTTTGATACCTCTGAAAGTGAGCTAGACCTTCCCCTTGCTATATAATTTAATAAATTAGGTTTTATTACATCCTTTGTATTCGTTGCAGTTGGCATCGTTGCTTTGTTAGGGTTTGACCTCTTTTGTGTAGGTGATATCGGCGAGTCACTCTGTTCCCGCTTCCTTTTTTCACGGCCTGGATCATTTGGTTTCTTAACGATTAGCTTATCATATTTGATATATGCAAAGTTACCCTTGTTTCTTTCTTCCTCTACTTTTGGTTGCAGTTGCTTTCGGGTTTCTATTATGTGCTTCGGGTAGTCTTCTTTTACATAGATCCCAGATGGAAGGCTGGATTTATTTTTAAGTATCAAATGTTTTTTCCAAATTGTCGTCAAGGAAACGACTACTGGCCGATTCTTGTTAGTTTGTGCTCCAATTCTGTAAACATTGCTTATTTCTTGGCTGTCTAGATGTAAACCTGTATCTGTTATAATTTGTTTGATATAGTCTACCAGTTCAGATTCCCTTTTTCCCTTTTCTTCAACTCCAAAAAATACCAAATTCTTTTTTCTTTTATCTATTTCCATTTGATCTAGTTTTTGTTCAAGTTTTGTAATCTGAGTTTTTAATTTTTTGTTTTCTTGAATAATTGAATCCATCTTATTATTTATCGCTTCCATAACGTTTGTGGTTACTGCTGATGTTATAGTTAGAGTTTGTTGGTTTAATTTTTCCTCTAATTTTTCCCAAAGCATTACGATATTTTTATCCATTCTAGGGAAAAGTGGAATTAATAAATTGTAACACCTTTTAGCTAATTAATTAATTTTTTTAATCTTGCAACACTGCCCGGTACTGCTGCGTAGGTTGGTACTAGATGAGATGTCAGTTGTTAGATGCGAATTACGTGTAATGGCGGACTATGAACTTTCACTTTTTAGTGGGATATCAGAAGTTGTTTCGGGATTGTTTTACGATATAGTTTTTAATCGCACTGTTTTTATAACTGTAGTTCTTATCTTTGCACTTTTCGTATAAGTTTATTGGTGAATTGTAGTTGAATGTTCAGTATTTTGTCACTTTTCACTATTTAATTACGGAGCTCAATTATGTACGTGTTTACGTTTACGACACCGACTTTGATTATTTCATTGTAATTAATTATTTCCATGCAATCAAAAACTATTTTTAATAATGCCAAAGAAGTATAACTTCTTACGCGCGTACATAAGTACACGTACCTCCCACCATTTTTTTATAGAACAGGGACCAAACGGGCAGGAGGACCCGGCCTATTTCAGAAATACTTCAGCGGGTAGCTGGTTTCACATAGTGGTGGCGTGCAAAAACTGCCTTAAACGACGCTCAGTTGTGGAACGAAAGATGTTGAGGTGATACGATACGACGTATTTCTTATTGCGCCTCGACGTCCGATGATGAAAGTCAGGAAACCAGAGCAACTCCTCTGAACACCCTCCATAGTAAATGCGGTAGAAGATGCAGAGAGACCCCACATCTCTACGCAACGCCAAGCAGTTCGGAAAGTAATTGGTTGTCGACGATTCAAACGGCTCTTGAGCTGTTGAGCGCCCTTGCCTTGCTGAGCACACCAAGCTCCTTGGAGGCTAATTTAGCCTTTCCTTCCAAACGGCCGTAAACTTAACGTCGTTTGCTATGTCAACGCCCAGTATTCCGATGTGGCTTTAACGAGGGTGTCTTCGAAGAGAGGAGTAGTAACAAAGGCAAAGAATGTTAAGTCGACCCCAGTTCGAGACTCCACTTATCAGAACTTCAGACACAAGTTTGTTCTGATACTGATCAACAACTGTCCGACAAATATCTCCACAGCCCGTGTGTAGAGTATCCCCAGTGCTTTGAATGTTGCTTAGTTGCAACATATCATTAATATGCAGAAGAAAAAGGGCCGGGGTAGTACATTCACAAGTTTTGAGGTGGCAGGGAGCATGCTCCATCTACACTACATTGATACCCCGATCAGCAAGGAAGCTGGAAAACCAATTGCATAATTTCTCGGAGAACCGGTTGGTAGCTTTTAAAGAAGTTCTCTGTGTTGTGTGTCTCCAAACCTAATCGAGGGCTTTCGCTATGTCGAAGGTTAAAGCTATTGGGGGATAGTTGGACAGTTCAGAGCGATTGCCTTTTTGCGAGAGCGAATGCAGATACCGGAGAAGGCTTAGTAAGACCGGAGCCAACTCTGGAATAGAAGTACGCAGCACAATTGGAGAGATGCGTTCAGGCCAGCTCGACTTATGAATGTCCAAGGAAGATAAGAGGTTTACGGACAGCTTGTCAGTCGAGACCTTAAGTCGAGTCGACGGAGAATTAGTGGTTGGTAGACATCGTTCTCTAGATATAAGGTCAGCAGACCAACTAAGATGTTTTGTAAACAGATGTTGATGATGTTTAGATGCGTAATTACGAAGACCGTGATTTAAAATGTAATTTAATTTTGTTTGGTTCTAGATTTTTATGCTATTATGATATTTATAATCTGTATAAAATCAAGCATGTAACGTCAGTCGTGAGTCGTAACTGTCAAAATTCAAACAAACGTTTCTTGACATTTGACAATAAATAACAATAGCGTGGAAGCGCTCATCGGCCTGTTATCGAGTTTATTTTTAATAAATATTTTTAACTTAACCGAAATGGTCGAAAATAATGAAATGGAGTTGTCTGAAGCTGAGGCAGAGCAATATGACCGTCAAATACGTTTGTGGGGTTTAGAATCTCAAAAAAGATTACGCGCTTCTAAAGTTCTCGTGATCGGCTTGTCCGGCCTCGGTGCCGAAATTGCTAAAAACATTATACTTTCTGGAGTTAAGAGTGTGTGTCTGCTAGATAACGAGAAATTGAGAGAAACTGACCAGTATTCCCAGTTTCTAGCGCCACCTGATAAAATTGGCGAAAACAGAGCTGAGGCGTCCTTATTAAGAGCTAGAGCATTGAACCCCATGGTTGATGTGACATCAGAAAAAAAAGCAGTAGATGATTTACCAGACAATTTTTTTACTGAATTTGACATAGTCTGCGCAACTGGCTTAAAACAAGAACAATTGGAACGTATTAATAATGCATGTCGAGATTGTAATAAAAAGTTCCTTTGCGGTGACGTTTGGGGTATGTTCGGCTACATGTTTACCGATTTAGTGGATCACGAATATTCTGAAGAGATAGTTCAACACAAGGCTGTTAAACGAGGTCCAGATGATTCTGAGAAGAATGCTCGTGAAACAGTTACAATCACTGTTAAACGACGTGCAATATATGTACCACTACAGAATGCATTATCTGCTGATTGGTCCAAACCAGAACTACGATCAAGACTACGTCGTGGAGATCCCTCCTACTTTGTGATGAAAATTCTCTTACGCTTCCGCGATGAATATAATAGGAACCCTGATCCTGCTAAACGTAAAGCTGACACTGAGATTATCTTCAAAATGAGAAATGAACTTGTTAAAGAGTTAAACCTTCCAGCTGGATTTGTAAGTGATGAAATTTTGACTGATGTATTTGGAATTGTGTCTGGTGCAGCAGCAGTCATGGGTGGAGTCATTGGGCAAGAGATAGTAAAAGCAGTGAGTCAAAGGGAGCCCCCACACAACAACATGTTTTTCTTCAATCCCGTCAAGTGTGTGGGCTTTGTAGAACTGTATGGCCAGTGAGTATCTCATTTATTAAAATTGTGAACTAAGTTATAATAAATATTTAAAAAGCACACTTTTTGTTTTATATTTTGTACTATAAATGGAATTTGAGAAAAATAATAGCATACCTGTAGATTGGTTAGATTCAAAAAAGTTGCTAAACTCTGTATCAGGTCTCCAGCTAATCTAATGTCATTTGTTGTTAATTTGACCTGACCATCCACACTAAAGTTCATCTGTAAATTACTTTCATCGCGGAGACAGATGAAATTTAGATTAATATCTTTGGCTTCCTCATTTGCTATTTCAATTTCTTTCTCTAAGAGGAAGTTTTGGTTTATCCAAATATAAATCCTCTGAACTCTTTCTGTGATGTGAAATGTTACATTTCCTTCTATTTTTTGTTTTTGAATAGAGGCATCTATCAACTTATACATTGAAAAGCGTGGTAGGTGTTTTGTCAATTCAAAAATATGGAACTGTTCACTATCAGGATAGCCAATCAGCGCCTAAAAATAACCAAATAATTTCAACTCCTTGAATTTGTATTTAATAACCAAAAACAGACCTCACCTTTATATGAACATCAATTGGTACATCTCTTGGTGGTCTAAGTGGTATAAAGAGTATAGGACGTAGCTGCCCACGAGAAGGATGACAAGCTAAAGTTTCACCAGTTTCAAAAACACCTTCAGCTAAAATGAGGGCTGCTCGCACTATGGTTTCATTGTTTGTTGAAATTGCAAGCTGTATGCATCCCTAAGTCAGAGAATGGTTCATAATTAAACATCAGTCACAAGATATTACTAACTTCTAGATGATTAGTCAACAAGAGTTAGTGCATGATACTGTCAATTGCTAAACAGTGGTAAGTATAAAAAAGAAGACAATATAGTGTTTTTCTCTTATTAAACTCTGTAAGTAGTGTTTTTGGACACATTCTTATGTTTAATATCTTAATTAGTAAATAGGCCTCTTGGATATCGTGGCAAAGCTACGGCAACTCGAGATCGTTTTTCTCATAGCAGTAAACATATGATTCGCATGTAGTCACTGCACCTTTTTGATAATTGTTCATTTTATCACAATTAAAAAAGTATTCCATCAATATTATGAGTCAAACTATTATTTTATGTGTATTTCAGAATATTTACGCAGGCTTTTCTGCGGAAAATCTGTGTCGAAAAGTAAGTAAATACACGAACCATGAAATATTCTTTTCAATTCATTGTATGTAATTTTTACTGCGTTTTTTTTTTATTGAAGATCATTGTATAACTAATAACAGGATGTTCAATAAATCTAATAGGGCACAAACTATTCCAAAGCCATCATGTTCCAGAGGTCTTCGAAATCCATGATGGTGGTGAACGAATCATCCTTGGAAATATCCATCCACAGACCAGAGTAGGTAATCGACCGTACGACGTGAAAGTGGAGGTATGTATTAATTATTATAAAATGAATTAATGGTTGAAAAATCTAAACAAATATATCTTCAGCAACTTCTCTACTACACATACAAAATGAAAATATATTTCTTTATCAAAGAAATATGCATATATTGAAGAAATAAGTATTGTTTTGTAATATTGAACCAATAACAGAATTTTATTTATTTAGTCATTTTTTATTTCATCGTTTTTCATCTATCGTTTCCAGACTCCAGTTCTTGTGGTTTTGAAGCTGTTGATTGCCGATTTTCTTTTTTTTTTTCAGAATTCGCTCGTGTCTAGCTTAGGCCATTTGTGATCTCTTTTTTTTTGTACACGGGGGAAAATTGTTGGCACATACGCTGGGCTGTTTGTGATGTTACACTGCTTTCCTCCAACAAGATGAGCACTGCAGATTCGAGATTCGAGTGTTCTTACTCGGCTGCCACGGCTTGTAATGTAATGTTCTAAAAAAAATTAAAACAAAAAACGTATAGCATACAAACAGAAAATTTGGAGTTTGTATATTTTCGATACGTTCCCGGTATCAACTCGTCATAATACATATTTACTTACATTCTTCTGACAGCTTTTATCCACTCATTTCTTTTTTAAATTTCCTAATTCCGTCTAGGAAACGAATAAAAAGCTAATCCACGATTTCGCTAATCCACTTTTTAACGTTTTCAACTCTGAATAACGTAAACCGTAGAGTTGATCGCACTCAGACGCCCGAGTATTGCCTAAATCTGCCACAACGCCGCGCCACTAGCGATATCCAAGAGGCCTATTAGGTTAGACTTAAATTACTTATTAGTATTAGTCTTAAGATAGGCTCAGTGTTTCCCAACATGGGGGCCGCGCCCCGCTTAACACAATTTGAACATAATAAAACATCTCTCAAGGAAGCATAAAGCGCAACGATCTCACTAAATTAATATAGAAAAAGCTTTATTGAAATTATGAATTTTAATTTCAGATTTTACATATATTTTGAACATTCAACAATTTTCATATTGAACAATACAATTTTTTTTATATTAAAATGCAGAGGCATAAGAATTTAGAAAGGCTTAGGTTGGCACAAATAATGTTGGGGAACACTAGGCTAGATTGTAATGTTTTATGTCTTAGTGAAGAGATTTTTAAAATAAAAAAATTAACATCATCATATTATAACAATTCAAAAAAAAAAATATTTACTTCATCACAATCTGTAGTTACAGCAACTTGAAGTCTTGTATTGGTAGGCATGGCTGATGATGGTTTATGTCCTAAATCTGCATTAGAGTTGTCCATTGCAGCATTTGCTTCATAATGTTGGAGTTCAACCATCAAGGCTTGCTTCTTGTTCATCAACTCAGTTATAGCAAGACGGTCTTCCTCCGTTGCATATTTTTTGGTAATATTAAAACCTGAGCTTTCTTGGTAGGGAGGGTAACCTAATACTGTTGGAAAGTGTTTTACTTATTACTGCAGATGATGTAATGTGCAATCAAAATCCATACCAATAATTATTTTTAAAAAGAAAATACTGGATATAAATTTAAGACAAAAACGTGCATTTAGCACGGCAATACAATATATATATAATATATACCAATTTTTTTTTTTACCTTCACCCCTATCAGAAACGCAAACTAAATCTGGAACGCCAAGTGAGCGATAATCTGCGAGCAACATTCCTGCAGAATTAGATCGAAGTTGAATTCTTCTCACAACCCGGCCGGTACCATCTCGCCAGTCCACTCGACCATTAGTCCAACAACATGCAAGCCACTCGCCAGAACTTTGCAGGGATACTGCATTTTGTTTTGACTGAAATCATACTACTTATATACTGTCATGTAATGTAATCTGCTATCATGTTATATACTGTTCGTGTGTTTTGCGTCTTATAAATTTAAATTAACCCTTCTAGCTCAAACTAATTGTTGTTTTTTTCTATTTTTCTCAACAAACAAATATGATATCAGACTTCTGTGGCCTCGGCAACCCAGGCCATTCCAATAAAACGCATTAAATAAATAAATAGCGTCTGCTATAAAAAAAACAATTCCAATAAAAAATCCATAAAGTTACAAACACAAGCTTACAGCGTTTTTACCTTCACTCTCCATAAACGTATTCCTTCTTCATAAACTCCTATAGTACCGTTTTCAAGACCATAGGCAAAGCGAACATCGGATATTGGAGATAAACAGAGAACCGAGCCGGTTTCAGGAAGTTCCACCATAAATTGATTGTTTTTCATAACCCTTATAAATGAATCTTCACAACCTATTAGAAGCTGTAAGGAAAAACATCTAGAAATAGGTTTTATCTCTTCTCGCACCAAAATGTATCCCTTATTATCCTACAGTTCGTAGTTCCACAGGTTTTTTTATTATTTAGATGCCGGTAACATACCCGCGACGCAACGGGCATTTAGCGTAGAGAAGCATATCGTTTGATATAGTTTAAATATTTTTTTATAAATAGAGTAAATGGGGTTTCAATGTGTTAAATTGTCGTAATTAGGTACCTCATTTTCTCCATCCTTATCAAAGTCGAATACGGTCACAGCAACTACCCTGCCGCTAACAACGTTCCAAAAGATTTCCTCACCTTTTCCGTTCAGACCTATTACGGAACTGTTCCCACCCACGACAGCTAACATTTCACTGCTTTTACCAACTCTACCTGTATTTATAACGTTTACGCCATCTGGCACTTCTTTGAAGAACAAGTCAGTGTTTTCATGAACGTCGTAGGCTGGAAATCGTGTGTAAAGAAAGAATAATGTAAGAACTTCAATTTACGATACAAATTTAATAAGAATTTTGCTATTATTGAGAGCAATTGTTAACAATCGTGTAATTTCATACCCAATATTTGAGTAGGCGAACCAATAAGTAGCATGTCTCTGGTACAGTCATCTTTAAGTGGTCCAGCAGCAAGTGCTTTAACAGCTTGGCTAAGGTTAAGCTCAGAAACCTCAGCATGTGCCTCTGATCGCTGTGCACGACCGCCAACAAGGCCATGAGGGTGGTGTATAATGATCTAGTAAAATATTTTGATGTTAGTAATAAAAATGTGACTTATTTAAGTTTCACATCTAAACGCACTTTATCGTATCCAGCAGATGCTGTCAAACAAGGATGAGTTCCATCGTATTTAGCTATTATTACAACGCCAGACGTTACTTTGTGGTTTAATTCCAACTTAAACACGGGTTGAACGGTAGATATTTGCATTTTAACTTAAAACTAATTTTGATCCTATTTGAATATTATGGCACAATTTATTTCTGTTGCTATGGAAACATTACCAATACAAGCATATTCTGACAGCAAAGCAATGCCTCAATAATAGAGCACATTAGTGTGTAACATGAAAATAAGCTTATAAAGTTATTATAATCAAAGGCTTAACTGTTGATGTTTCAGTACCACGTAAATTCAGTAGTGATCTTGTATTATATATACTATAATATGAATTATAAATTGTATACATAACATACTATTGTACTTAGTTTAAGATATCGGGCATTAGTCCTGGTTCAATAATAAAAATATGGTGCACTTCATGATAGATTTGTTGAATACCTAGCGACCTATTATAGTTTTGTACACAAAAAATATGCTTTAATTAGCCAACGTTTTAATACAACATTTATTGACGAAAATCTGATTGACAGAAGGTTAATAGAATACAACTTTTTTAAATTCTAAATAATAAGGTTTTACATCAATACTTCCTCTAAAACATTAGATATTTCAACTTTAATATAAAAACATGAATAAATTCAAAAAACAGTTCAAATCATTCCCAGAGCAGAACGTAATTCAGCAAATCTCAGACGAGGTAGCGGCTTGGTCAGGATATCAGCGAGTTGTTGATCACCTGGTACATGTTGTATGTTCAACCTTCCATCCTCCAATTCCTTTCCAATATAATGGTACCTCACTTCGATATGCTTGGTCCTCTTGTGGAACTCATGATTTTTCGCTAACTTGATTGCGCTTTGGTTGTCCACAAAAAGAACCGGAACGTTGTCTAAGGGAGAAACTTCTGTAAACAGTCGCGCCAACCAAACTGATTCCCTCGCAGCTTCACCAGCAGCGACATACTCAGCCTCAGTTGTGGATATGGACACACACTCTTGACGTCTGCTAGCCCAAGATATTGGTCCTCCAGAACCAGCCTCATACCTGATGCCAACCGAACTAGACCCTTTAATGTACCTCAGGATTCTTTTGACCAGCAACCAGTGAACTTCTTCCGGATTTTCCAGGAATTGCGACGCGTAACTAATTGCGAACGCGATGTCAGGACGAGTGGCTACAGCTAAGTACATCAAACATCCTACAGCTTCACGGTAAGGAGCAGATGTTCTTAAACCAGTTTTCTCCTCCAATTGCACGTATTTTTCGATGGGCGTCGAGACAGCGTTTGCTTTTGCCATGTTGAACTTCTGAAGAAGACTTTCTGCATACAAATTCTGACTCAAATGGATTGAGCCATCTTCCTCTCGTTCAATGAGCATATTCAAGAAAGAACCAAGCTCTTCAAGAGTGATCTTGAACTCCATCTCCAGCTTCCTCAGGAACTCTTGAATAATGCCATCTTTCGTCGCAGCAACCAAGCCATCGTCCACGTACAAAACAACGATCAGCTTATCTTCATCAGATATACGATAAAAAAGACACGGATCAGCTTCACTTTGGACAAGACCAAACTTACAGATTAAAAACTCCTTGAATCGATTGTTCCAGCACCTTGGCGATTGCTTCAAACCATAGAGACTCCTAATCAGCAAGCACACAAGATTAGAACCATCTTCAAAACCTTCAGCTTGATTCATGTAGATTTCTTCGTCCAGGAAGCCGTTCAAAAAAGCCGTCTTGACATCAAACTGGGCCAACTTGAGATGTTCCTTGGCAGCAATACTCAGGATCGCCCTGATTGTATCAAAGCGAGCTACAGGACTGAATGTTTCATTATAATCGATACCTTCTCGTTGACTGTATCCCTTCGCAACAAGTCGAGCTTTGTAACGACAGATCTTCCCTTCCGCATCACGTTTGATACGAAAGACCCAGCGATTGGCGATAGTCTTCCTTCCTGGTGGTAATTCTGTCAAAGTCCAGGTTCCATTTTCCTCCAGCGAAGACATTTCTTCTTTCATCGCAGCCTTCCAGTGCACATGATCAGCCGACTCCATGGCTTCTTTGTAGCTTCGAGGTTCGTCTAACTCTGCAAGAAACATCTCATTGAATCTTACAGGTTTCTGAAGAGTACTTCTATCTCGAAGACGCCGTTGAATGGGCTCCTTTGCAGTCTTGGGGGTTTCATCGAACTCTTCGATTCGCGGTTCAGCATCAACAACTTGATCTGGTAACGCAGGATTCGGGACTTCAGGTAAGTTCAGAACTCTAGGAGAGTTCAGATTTTCAAGATGGTCTTCAATTTCTTCGACAACGGGATCTTTTTCTGTAGCTTCAGCAGGAAACAATGCCAATACTTTAGAGGAATGCTCTGGACCGAACACTACCTCTCTACTTCGAATCACGTTCCTCGTGTCCTTTATCCACACACGAAAACCATCAATGTCGTCGGAATACCCGACGAATACTCCCTGGGCACCTTTGGCATCCCACTTCTTCCGACGTTCTTTGGGCACCATCAAGTAGCAAACGGTTCCAAAGATATGGAACCTGTTCAGATGAACGCTCTTCTCAACGAACAACTCGTAAGGAGTTTTACCCTCTACAGAACTTGGACCAGTTCGGTTGAGGATGTACACCACCGCGTTGACAGCTTCAGCCCATAGAAACTTCGGTAGAACTTTGCTAACAAGCATAGTACGTGCTAGGTCATCAAGTGTTCTGTTTGATCGTTCAGCACAACCGTTTTGTTGAGGCGTGTACGGATTGGTGACTACCATCTTCGTTCCTTCAGACTTCATGAGATTTTGAATCGCTCCATTTACAAATTCTCCTCCTCCGTCACACTGGAACACCTTAACTGGTCGACCACGTTGATTCTTCACAAACTGCAACATTTCTTTGACCTTGTCAATCACCTCAGATTTCCTCTTCAAGAAGTACACCAGGCGAAATCTTGAGTAGTCACACGTGAAACAGACAAAGTATCTGGAACCACCAATCGACTCCTGTTCCATTGGACCACAGACATCAGCATGAATCACCTCACCTGGCTCAGAAGATCGCTGTTGACGTGAGTTGAACGGTTGTCGATGTTGCTTACCTTCTACACAGGATCCACAGAACTCATCATCAGGTTTCACATGAATTCCGTATTTCTTGAGTACCTGAGCAACATGACGTTTGTTTTGATGGCCCAAACGTTCATGCCAAACTTGAAGCGAGTCCTTGAACGCCAGGTTAGCTTCACTCACACAGCACGTGTCCGGTTCGTTGACTCTGAGCAACATCTTGAATAGTTGACCAGTTCGTACACCTTGCGCCTTGACAACACCATTCAGCAGAAACTCACATCTATCCTTGGAAGAGCTGAAAGTCATGCCTTTATCCAGCGCACGCGTGACCGAAAACAGATTCCTTCGGGCATCAGGAACATACAGCACGTTTTCCATGTAACAAGGAGTCCAATGTCCATTCACAAGCGCTTCGAAGTTGATAGTTCCTCTTCCCAAGGCACGCATCACTGAATTGTTCCCGATACGAATTTCAGCTGGAATCGAGAAAGCTTCAAAGAATGTATACCATTCTTTCTTGAAAGTCATATGGTCAGTCGCACCAGAATCGATGATCCAATCTTCATTCTTGGATTCCGCATTGAAGACTTCGCTAACGAAAGCTTGATTTTTACCTTCAGAGACCACATCACCAGATTTCTTCTTCTTCTTTGCTGTTGGACAATCTCTTCGAAAATGACCAACTCCTTGACAACCGTAGCACTTGAAGGTAGACTTCTTTCCCTTCTGGTTGGATTTGACATCATCTTTGGCCTGCTTACCACCATGTTGACTTCCACTTGCACCTTTAGATTGAACCATCAACTTGGTTGCCATCAATGCCGATAAATTGTCCACCTTTTCTTGCCGAAGCTTTCTTCTGTGCTCATCAGATGTCAAAACATTGATAAGGTTATCAAGAGTTTGTTGATCGTCCGATCTGGCCCACCAGGCTTGTCTGAAACTTTCAAAACTGTCAGGCAAAGTTTCCAGCAACTTAACCATCAAAGCTGACTCATCGGGTTTAACCTTCAACTGCTGCATACGAAGAATCAAACCTTCAAATTTAGCTATATGGCTTACCATATCATCCGCTAAATTCATGTCAAAACTGAAAAACTCCGTCTGCACCGAATGAACAGCTTGTTTAGTTTGTTGTTCATAAATACCGTGCAGTTTGGTCCACATCTGATGAGCAGTCTCGCAGGCGACAATCAGGGTCATAACTTTCGAATCAATTGTCTTGACGATGATTTGACAAGCTGCGCGATCTGCTTTGTCCCAAACTTTCATTGCTGCTGCGTGAGCCGCACGTTGATCCGCCGTCGTATTATCAACCAGCACCGGTTTAGTCAACTCTCCAATACGTTGATCCGCCGTCGCATTGTCAACCAGCACCGGTTTAGTCAACTCTCCAATACTGACTTCATAGGCTCCATCAGTTGCACGCAATAAATTACGCACCATAAATTTCCAAATATTCCAGTTTTCCGAACCCTTCAACTTCTCAATACCTTGAAATTCCATGATTGTCAGTCACCAAAATTCCAGTAACTATCACCACCAGGTTATTAGATGAAAATGTCCCAAAAAACACTATTTGTTTCGTTCAATCTTCGTTGAAAACGTTGGTCCAATCAAATCGAACCACGCTCTGCTAGCATATTATAGTTTTGTACACCAAAAATATGGTTTAATTAGCCAACGTTTTAATACAACATTTATTAACGAAAATCTGATTGACAGAAGGTTAATAGAATACAACTTTTTTTAAATTCTAAATAATAAGGTTTTACATCAATACTGCTGCATACGAAGAATCAAACCTTCAAATTTAGCTATATGGCTTACCATATCATCCGCTAAATTCATGTCAAAACTGAAAAACTCCGTCTGCACCGAATGAACAGCTTGTTTAGTTTGTTGTTCATAAATACCGTGCAGTTTGGTCTACATCTGATGAGCAGTCTCGCAGGCGACGATCAGGGTCATAACTCTCGAATCAATTGTCTTGACGATGATTTGACAAGCTGCGCGATCTGCTTTGTCCCAAACTTTCATTGCTGCTGCGTGAGCCGCACGTTGATCCGCCGTCGCATTATCAATCAGCACCGGTTTAGTCAACTCTCCAATACGTTGATCCGCCGTCGCATTGTCAACCAGCACCGGTTTAGTCAACTCTCCAATACTGACTTCATAGGCTCCATCAGTTGCACGCAATAAATTACGCACCATAAATTTCCAAATATTCCAGTTTCCGAACCCTTCAACTTCTCAATACCTTGAAATTCCATGATTGTCAGTCACCAAAATTCCAGTAACTATCACCACCAGGTTATGAGATGAAAATGTCACAGAAAACACTATTTGTTTCGTTCAATCTTCGTTGAAAACGTTGGTCCAATCAAATCGAACCACGCTCTGCTACCATATTATAGTTTTGTACACAAAAAAATATGCTTTAATTAGCCAACGTTTTAATACAACATTTATTGACGAAAATCTGATTGACAGAAGGTTAATAGAATACAACTTTTTTAAATTCTAAATAATAAGGTTTTACATCAATACGACCTACCATAGTGATCCCGGTCTCGGAAGATTTAGCAGATTTTTAAATGTAATTTACTACCGACCAAAAATGTATAATAATTGAAGGTAATATGTAGCTTAACGAATGAGAATAAATATTAGCCGGTCAGATAAATAATGATATAACTGCTATTGCTTTACATTAGTAAACCTACGTTTATTATATTAGGTATATATTACTAGAAAAATAAATCTGCAATGTTGCGAGCCGAAGATCGAAATCGAAAACATGACCCCAATTAATAGCTTGAACAGCTTTGAACATCGTACAATTTAACTAAAAACTTAGAAATATTAATAATAATACCGTGGGAAAAAATATATAAGTTTATATAGCTTATAATATATTAATAAGCATTAAGCATGACAAACTATTCTTTTAAAAATTGCGCTATATTTCTCATTTCATTCTGACAAAAGCATATTTTGTCAGTAGCATTTTTATTTTGATTATCGGTTGTAAATTGTCATAGTTAACGTGACAAGAAGTAAACTCAAAAAAAAAATCATTTATAAATTGCTTTGCTTGCTCTGGCCTCAGTCTGATTAATACATAATTGGAAATTATTAACCAAAGTTCAAGTGGATAAATCTTGTTTGTTTAAATTAGGAGGTGAATGGTTTTTTACATACCAATTAACTTTCCGGCTTGTTTTAAGATAAAGTTTCTCATTGGAATGATTATTTAAATCAAAAACAAATGGGTAGTGAATTAAATCTTTCAACTACGGAATCCAGGTATGAATACGCAGTATATATTTTAAAAAGTATTGCACAATAATATGCTATAGTGAATAAAATCCTTAATTTCCACCAAATCTGAAATCGTTTCGTTGTTATGCTACGTTTAATCACTTCATCTTATTGTATTTGGGTCCACTGTACTACTAGTAAATACATATAATTTTCGACTTACTGACATAAAACATTATCACCAGCTGGCTAAATCCTGGTTCTAGTAGTCATTGTTTATCTTTGCTTACTTTTCGTACATTTCACATTTTACAAGTTTAAATGTATGAAATAGAGCATTAATATATTATAGTAAAAATACATTAAGCTGATATAAAATTTACCATTTTGCTTTTATTTTAATAAGAACTATATTATTTATTTTCAAAACATATTCGATAATTTTCAGCAAAAATTGATCTTTGTCAATGGGAGCAGACAAGCAAGTTTATTATTGCACTGTTTTTGCATGAGTCATTAATTGTTAGCTTTTTGTTATATTGTTAGCATTTTTCAATACAGTTAACTTTATAATGTAATTACAATAATCTGGGATTTTTATTGAAGTCAGTGATGGTATTTATATAACCACTGATAATATTCTATTATTTACCTTTAATGTCAGTATACTGGTACATTCAAGACTTTTTCTTTTGTCTCACAGTATCAAATAATTCCACTCCATAACATAATTTTTTTTTAATTGTACAATGGAATGTTTGTTAATGTGTTGTTTATGTGAATATGTTGTCTTGCAGTTTTTTAAGCAGAGCATGGATTGGAAATATTTTTTCCATAATTTGGAAGTAAGATATTTTATTATCAGCTTATATGTACACTATTTCTTGATTTCTTATAACTAAGATAAATACTAATATCCTTATTAATATAAACTATATCAGACTACTTATACTCTATTAACAAAAGCACTTATGTCTCTTTTCATCATAGCATTAATACTATTTAATGGAAAGAGCCTAAGAAGTATTTCACTATAAGAGTGATATAACACTGGTAGAATTTGTATCAATAATGGCAGTAGACTTAAGATTTCTAATTGTGACAGTACTGAAAACCTTATTTAATAACACTGAAGCCATACACAAAACTTACAATTTACAAATTTATTTTAACTTGTAGTTTGATAATGTATATTTATTTTTGATTTTTTTTTTGTTTGTGTAAAAGGTTGTGGAATGTATTGAATAACAAATATTACAAGAAATTGTTCACGGATTGTAATAAATAATTATAAATTACAGTTGGACAGGGGTATGGTTCAGCTGGACAAGGCAATCTGACACAATGCTCAGGAATATTGAGAAGACTATATTATCATGTAAGCCCATATAGATCTAAATCTTTACAGTAATGTATACTTGAAACATTAAAATTAAATCTTATTATTCTTTTACTAAACCATCTTTATTTTGTCAGGCCACTATAATTTTATTGAAAACTACAATAATCAATTATGAAATATAATCTTAGTTTGTTATAACTTTATGGTTATTTTGCTATTGTACATGTTAGTTCCTATTTTAAATGTATGTTTAAACATAATAGTCCATGTTGTTCTATAGTTGCAATGTTTTCAAGGTCATTGCAAACTGCTTCTTAATCTAGTCAATCTATCTATGATTGGCCAATGTTAATTACTTATGTATAAAAAACGATTATATTTTTATCAATATTTTGTTTTTATATCGCGCAACCTTGACTCAGTAATAATTGGATGGATTCCGGAAACGATAGCGTTAATACATCGTCTTTTGTTTGAAGTTCGTTCTATGCTTTCCCAATTTTATTTTGTATAAAATATGTTACAGGTGTCACAACAGCATACAAGCGTTTCTATGTGGACATAGGGTCCGTTGTGGGGCAATGTGACAAGATTTGGACTATATCGTTGAACGATGAAGCCCCACAGACGCCGCTTGTAATGCTTCATGGAATGGGGGCTGGTGTGGCTTTGTGGTGCCCCAACTTAGACGCTCTGGCTGCCACGAGACCAGTTTATGCCATTGACTTATTGGGTGATTAATTTTAATTGGCGATTGTCTCTTAGCATACGCTAGCTAGGAGACGGCTTATTGCGATAAGAATTCCCGTTGCATACACTACATGAATGAAATGTGTGCAAAATGTCATTAGAACAATTTTAACGTATTTTTATGAGCGAATGGAGTGTGGAGTGCAATTTTGTAAATATTTTCAGGCTTTGGCCGCAGTTCGCGACCGAAGTTCGCAACAGACGCTGAAAAAGTTGAAGCTCAATGGGTCGAGTCGGTGGAAGAATGGAGACGAGAAGTCAAGATAAATCACTTTATCCTACTGGGACATAGTTTGGGAGGATACATTGCTACGGCCTACGCCCTCAAATATCCTGATCGGTTCGTGATGTTTATTGTACTTGTGAAATTATATGTTAGTTGTTTATGAAATATTCAAACTAGGTTAACTTGGCAGATATAGTGCAACAGTATATTTTACATAAATTCTAAGCAAAAAACACAATTTTTTTATATAAAAAAGTCGAGCTAACGGCTGCGCAGTTTCTCTTATTGGCTTTATTTTTCAGAGTACGTCACCTTATCTTAGCCGATCCGTGGGGATTTCCCGAGAAACCTTCTAATGTGTACGAGAAGTACCAAGTGCCGTTTTGGGTTCGGACAGTCGCAAAAGTCTTGCAACCTCTCAACCCTCTTTGGGCGGTCAGAGCCGCGGGACCGGCTGGCAAGTGGCTGGTCTCGAAGACTCGGCCGGACATTTCAAGGAAATTTATGAATTATGTAGCCGATGCAGAAACAATTATACCTGAATATTTGTATCAGTGCAATTCGCAGACCCCGAGGTATTTTCAGTAGAATTTATGTTTTATTTGATACACTGGCTCGCCATCTAGAGTAGTTTTTAATTATTCGACATAATCAGGCCTTAAATACAGTGTAAACTCGATGTAACGTCCCTCGATTTAACGACAAAGTCCCTAAAGCGTCGAAATCACTCGGCTTTGGTTGGTTTAGCTTATCTTCCATACAATGACACTCTCTACATAGCATAACCCCCACCCTCAATAACGACAATTAAATAATAAAAGTACTTTTTAAGTTGCCAAAATTAGTTAAAACTGCGAAACGGTGTACGTTCTTTTGTCGCTTTATTGTCCTATCCCGTCATAAACTCAATTTACTCAATTGTCGGCATCATACGACATACATACATACTAACACTAGTCTGAAATAAACTTTTTCTTCTTCTTTCTATTTAACGACAACCCTTTGTAACGTCAAAATTTGCACGGTCCCTTGAGTGTCTTGAATATAGAATTTACACTGTATATTATTCTCTCTGTCAGTCATGTTTTGTCGCTAACTCTTGTGTCTTTCGAGACGATTACATCTCATATGATATTTACTTTCACACTTATATAGAGAATCAGCAATTTTCATAATTCTGTATAAACGTCTCGAAAATTTTAGCGGCGAGAGCGCCTTCCACACACTGATGCACGGTTTCGGATGGGCAAAGAATCCGATGGTGCGTCGCGTGGACAAACTGCATCCAGCCCTACCCGTCACGGTGCTCTATGGGTCTCGCTCCTGGGTGGATAATACTACGGGGCAACAGCTGGCACAGCATCGCCCAGATTCCGATACTAACGTCCAGGTAAATTGTTTTCACGCCTGGCTATTAATATCTGTTTCCGGTGACCTACAACTTTCTTCTTTCCCAGGTGATCAACGGTGCGGGTCACCACATATACCTCGATAAACCGGATCTATTCAATAAATACGTTAACGAAGCGTGCGCACGCGCAGATGCGGACACGACGTTCGCGACGCGAATCGCAAAAACGGAGTCATCTAGCGAGAAACGGAGTTCGGGTGACACGCAACCAGATTTGGGACCGAAACAATGCGATGACACGAACCAAGTGTCTACATCCTGATAGATTATGAAATTAGCGAATTTACTGCAATGCCTTATAGGTTAGAGCGACCGAAAACCAGTATTTATGCGCGCACATTCAATGTCAATAATGCTAACTTTTTTCTACTGACGTTAATAGTAATTGTGAAAACTGACAAATATTTTGAAACGGCTATTCAGGAATGTTTAGTCTAAAGCTGTGATAATTCTGATGTTCAAATCTGTAGACTAAAAATAGTTTATCTCTCTCAGATTAACGAGTATTTTTAATCTGTTGTATGTACCATAAAATATCTGTTAGGTGAACTGAAACCCCAATGTTTTTGACACTATTTTTCTTCCATCAGAATTAGCACCCGTCTCTCCTATAATGTTATTATATTGTTTAAAAACATAAATTATTATTTAATACATAAAAAGTGTACATTATATTTATGGGAATAGGGCTATAAAAATTGTAAAATAAAGGCATGTGAATCACAAATACATATGCTTAAAAGTAGGATTTAAGAGGTCCTTTGTAAAACGATAAAATTGAATTAGGCCTTCTTACTTATTACTAAATAATTCCTGTTCTGCTTCTATGTGTAAACCATACAAAAATAATTATTTACATTTTCTGCCAAAATTTTTAATTTTCAACTTTGACCAATAATAGAGGGTAATCTTTCAAATGGCCATACATTTGTTGGCGACAGTCAACGTTTTTATAATTTATGTAATGTTACTTAATCATGTTTGGTTAATTTATAGTTAATTTTGGTTAAATGTTAAAAATTATTTATTCCTTTTCCACACTGTTACAAATCTACAAATAAAAATGTTTTATAAATGAATATTTTATTGACACTTAACAAAAACATAGAATAAATTGCGGAATGACATTAATTCACATTGAAAACAGGTTATTTAATAATTGTTCATCGAGTCACTTTTCCTACCTATCAGAAAAACTTTAAAAAAATTACAGCATCTTCAGAATGTTAAACTGGATACAAATCAAATAATTCTAATATGCGAGGAACTGACGACAGTAACTTTCCCTTCGTCCTGTAAATCTCGTAGAGCTTCGTCCAACTGCTCTCGGGATACCGTCTGTGGATTTAATTGTAGTCATAAAATTTCACTGATTTTTTATATAGATATATATATAGCTTGGCTATTTTTATCTACGCCATGCCCGATAGTAATTCGACGTGTTCCCATTAGGAGGGGACTATTTGCAATAATTTTAACCCATATACATTATTTAAAAATGTAGTATCAATTTAAATAATTTTTTTTAGAAATATTAACGATTGTCTGATTATTGATTAATATTAAAACAAATATTATCGGTCAAATTTAAAAATTGTATACAATACAATATTATTTCAATATTTTTAAGGGATTTGTTTCTGCTAAAATGCCCTAAAAACAAAAAACATTTGTGTACTTATGTACGGTTAGAGGGACGTTATCCTTCTTCGTAATTGCATTTTTACTTCGTCCACTTTAACGAGTCACGTTTCCCTAATCGAACATTTTCTTGTCATGATATTTTACAATAAACACTATGTTTTCATCACATTGGAACGGGTTTTCTTGTATAGAAATCATTATTTTGGTTTAAATAAACACGACTCTGAAAAACACCACGCTAAGACAGACAATGCAACTTGTCGATAAAACAGAGCAAGCGCCAACTACCGACCCAGACTGTTTTACCGACGTTTTGACAGATATTCAGGGTGTCGGTTTTTTGTGACGGTGTGCGCGCGCATCGTGAAACGATTGGAAAATTTGGCTTCCGATTATTTTAAAAAATATTATCATCTTCTACATTTTATCTTTTTTATTATTTTTTTGTTTTATTTACATTGGGTATTGTTTTTAAATTTGAAAAAAAATGCTAAAATTATCGCAAATATGACAGTGGGAATATGTCAAATTACCAATAACTCTGTAAACGCCTAAACAGTAAAATACAATGACTTACGATTTGGGAGCCTGCGTTGATCTTCTGCAGTAACTTGTTGTGCGTGAGGGTAGACGGCCTCTGCATCGGTTCCAAGGCCTCCTTGAGGGCAGCCAACAGATCGGCGCGACGCCTTCTCGCAGCCGCGCCCAGACCGGTCGTGAGGATCCCTACGTCGATACGGCCCGAGGCCGGGTCGGTGGCCGACTGCTTCAAGGCTTCACGATGGAGTCTGCAATTTATTTCTTCTTTGGTTAAGCATATAAAAGTATAACAATTTTTGTTGGCTTCAATGGTATTTGTATACAGGAATATCGTAACATTTAGACAGGTCAAGACAATCTGGAATGGCACCAGTTTATGACCTAAAAATGATTAGCTCTTTTATGGCTTAAGAATCAAAAGTGAAAAAATTCAACCAAATCTAGATTAGGTTCTTTATCTTCTAGGTTATTTGAAAAATGAAAAGCTATTTACCGAGCAGCTTCGTCGACGTCCTTGATCTCCACGACGGAAGATAAGCGAACCTTGGCGTGAGCCTCTGCTAGCCGAATGAGGGATTCCAGCTGACGCGGGTAGGCCGATATTTGACCGCGACCGCTGCCTACCCGCCTGAAACGATTTATTTTAAATTATAAATTCAACATCCTGAATCAAGAATGACACACACAAAAATACACATTCACATCCTACATGCATTTTCTTTGTAATATAATTATTAATCTGTAAACATTCTAATTAGCGTTTTGATATAAAAATTCTTTTTTTCTAAATAAATAATAAAAATGTTTCTGTTTTTTTTACTAGATGTACTCGACAATATATTATTTTGCCGAAATTAGAACATCTTTGGCCCATCATCACGTTTGCTCTCTTATTACCTCATGTCAACGTAGGCGTCAATAAGTCTCTGCTGCGAAGCCTCGCTGAGTGTGGGGTGGACGTTTTCCTTGGCGAATGCCAAATAGTCCCGCATCAAGTTGATACCCTGGAGTGCAACGTTTCGTATAGTTGTCGGATCTATAAATCTTTCTATCGAGAAGCAAATACAAAACTACTCAACCGATTATGATGATACTTAGAGACAGTTGCCTGACAGCAAGCGAGTATAAACCTGATTGAAATTACAGTAAAATAGTAATTATAATTACAAACGAGTAGTTTAAATTTAGTACCATTTAGTTAGTGAGGCCAAAACGGTCACAGGTCGAGTATTCCTTATGGCGGGTTGAAGGAAGAATTGAACCATTATTAGACAAATCAGATAGAATTTGAATTTTGAAACTGATGCTAAAGAGATCCAAAAGCGCTGCGCTTACGATTAAATCCTCATCATCTTCGTGCACTTGACTGGGGTCTCGGTAATAGAGGGAGACCAAATGTGAGGCCAGTCTGCGATCGAAGACTTCGTCTTGCGGGTCCAATATCAGGAATATCAAGTCGAATCTGAAATTCAATGGCAGTGCATCTATTTTTTGTAATATATTAAAAATATAATGAAATTTAAATATTTCGTAATCTCGCTTCTTGGTGTGCATATGAGGAACCTTTAAAAAGGATAATTATTAATAATTGGCTTCCAAGAAAACTAGAATCCCTTTGTCTTCGCGCATTTTTTATACAAGATACAAAAAAATGCGTGCGTACAAAGTGCACAAGCCAGAAGTTAAACTTCTTTGTAAATTAATTATTACTAAGGTATAGATGATCACTTCATGTTTTAGTATATCTATATTCACACTGTATACATGCTAATGATAATATAATTAAATAAAACGTTATGAGACAGAATTGCCATCTAAAGTTCTAATATGTTACTACTAAACGAATACATCAACCAATAGCGTGTATTTTTTCTCGATCTCCCTTACTCTCTCTCTCAATCTTTCTCACTATAGCTCTCTCCCTCCTCTCGCTCCATGGCTATTTGCTTCATGCTACGTTCGCTCTTTCTCACTATCTCTCAATCGTTCTCTCCCTTTTCTTCGACAAAAACGCTGCACATCTTCGTGACGTTTCATCCGTAAAAATGTTACACTCATGCGCCTAAAGAAGTTTGACTTCAATAAAACTGAAATGTATTATTATATTAGAAGAGAAGAGAGCCCTACCTCGACATGAGCGTGTGAGGCAGCTGAACATTCTCGACGATGGTCTTGTTCTTGTTCCACTGGGACTCGGCCGGGTTGGCCGCCGCCAGGATCGACGTCCGGGCGTTGAGTTGGCAAATGATGCCGGCCTTCGCTATCGACAGGGTCTGCTGTTCCATCACCTGAAGCATTTTTAGTTAATTAGTTATTCCAATAAAATTAATTAATCAGTGGCGCTACAACCATTTCAGGTCTGGGCCTCAGATGATCATTTGTCAACCTAATAGGCAAGTAGGTGATCAGCCTCTCGTGCCTGACACACGCCGGGTCTAAAGCCGTTTTCCTCGCGATGTTTTCCTTCATTGTTCCAGCGAATGTTAGATGCGCACATAGAAAGTTCATTGGTGCACAGCCGGGGATCGAACCTACGTTGAAGACACTAGGTCAACACTGCTTTATATTGTTACGAAGACGGGTCGACTACAATGTTTCTAGATTTTTCCACTAGTTAGAGAACTTTTCAGCAGGCTGAAATGTGATTTCTGACCGTTTCAGGAGAGGGTCAATCACATATTAGAAAATCGTAATTCACATAATGTCACCCTAGTTTTCAGGAGCCTGAAACATTTTTTCAGGCCGTTTCAGAACACGTGTAGTCGAATGGTACACTTTTCAGGAAACCCGTTTTCAGGCGTTTTCAGGCCTGGTTATACCCCTTTGATGAAGGAATGTTCTAGAACGAATTTTCTAGGTGTAGGACAAGGACGGAATGATACGCGAGAGAGAGGGAAGATCGGAACCTTCTCGAAGCTAGACCGAGCACTCTAGAACGCCGTACGACAAGGACGGAGCAATGTGCGAAAGGGATAGCTAGTACGCACGTTCTAGAATTGTGCGATCGCTACTCAGTTGCGCTGCCGCCTAGAGAGTTCTCGAACATCGCTCCCAGGGATATATAAGCGAGCCGAAACGCGACCAGTTAGTTCAGTTTCGAATGCGATATCAAGCGATAAACATCGGAGTGACAAAGTGCGAATATAGTGAAGACAAGTGAATACAAGTACTGTGTGAAGTGCGTGTAATTAGTGACAGTATTTTGTGTGTGTATTCAGTGAATTTTAGTGCGTAATTTCCAGTTTTTAGTGTAACAAATTCCTCGTAGATTTAATTAAAATAAACCCTTGAAGAGATCTACGGCGTTTCTATCCGATCCCCTAGCTTGTAACAATATTATTTTACCGGGACATAAACTCAGATTCTTTAATAACTAATTATAAAATAAATAATTAAATAAGATTTGACGAGATGACTGAATGCATTAATTAATGATTTCTGTACATTTTATAAAAAACCAACCTCGTGGAGAACACTGCGAGTGGAATCGTTCATTTTGTCAAACTCGTCGATGCAACATATTCCGTTATCAGATAACACTAGAGCCCCTCTGAAATTTCAATATTATATTATTAGCCTTTTCTCGAGTCTAGATGTCACCAACAAAACAAAGAAAATTATTTATGAAGTTATATATACTGCTCAAAACAATTAGCGGAACAAGATTTTTCTCCTTTCTATTGCTTAAACTAAAATTAGATTTAAATTAACTTGTGCGCTATTTTTTACCTTGTTAATTACTACAATTAATAAAAAAATTCAATTTGTATTTTTTTTATTAAAAAAAAATTAAAATGTGCATTGTAGACGAAAAACAAAGTGACGTCTTTGAATTTTCATTACTTTCTAATCACAGAAAACACATTTTAAGTAGTTTTTTCAATCTTTTGAGTATTAATAGAAATTGAAGTGAGCCTTTTGAGTATTGTTATTCATTGAAGCGAGTGAGTTTAGGTCATAATGCCAGATCTGACTGAATTGCATGTCTCCCGAGCTATCGCTTTGCTTGAAGAGGGTCGAACTATGCGTTATGTAGGAAATGATCTAGGAGTAGCCCCTTCTGTTATCTACAGACTTTGGAAGCGATACCGTGAGACGGGAGAATACTCACGAAGGCGTGGTCAAGGTCGAAAGAGAAAAACTACACGTTTGCAAGATCGCTACATCGTCAACTGTGCTTTACGTAACCGCACCACAACTGCAAGAGATCTACAAAATACACTAAGGACGGCTACTGGTGTACAAGATTTTTCTCCTTTCTATTGCTTAAACTAAAATTAGATTTAAATTAACTTGTGCGCTATTTTTTACCTTGTTAATTTGTTAATTACTACAATTAAGAAAAAAATTCAATTTGTATTTTTTTTATTAAAAAAAAATTAAAATGTGCATTGTAGACGAAAAACTAATTGGTAATAAAAAAGGTCCATCAAAGAAATATTCTTATATCGTTTGAATATTCGTCTTGGTGACTTTCAGTAACGTGTGTGGCCTCCATGAGCCCTAATCACGGCTTAACAACGACGCGGCATGCTTCGTATGATCCTCCGAATATCTTCTTGTGGAATTCGCTCCCATTCTTCAATCAACGCTTCAGTGAGCTGCTCCAGTGTTTGAGGTGCAATCGGACGCTTCCGGATGCGCCTGTCAAGCACGTCCCAAATGTGTTCAATTGGATTTAGGTCAGGGCTCATGGAAGGCCACTCCATTACACGGATTTCCTGCTGTCGTAAGTAATCTGACGTGATGGCTGCAGTATGCGGCCTGGCATTATCTTGCAAGGGGGGGGTTTGGGTCTATGCTTCTACGGTTCCTAGTACGACATGCTTGCATGGTAGCATAGGTGCAAACCCACCCTACCACATCCTTCTGATGGGTAGGGAGGCGTGGCTTTTGGGGGTAGCGCAAGTCGCTATGATCCCCTCAAAGCAAGTTTGGTGGACTAACCTTCTCGAGGTTGCCGACCCTGTTCTTGGTCTAATACCCTATGTATTAGACGTAACTAAAACCGCCAAGCGAACTATTGCAGGGATGGAGAGGTCATGTCCTTGCGAGTTCATCGTCCAAAAAGGAAGGACGGTGGACAGTAAATGACCTCCCGCGTGTTTGTGCCGTGCGCGGGGACCCGTACGGGAGGATGAAGGAATCCTGGGGGTTGAGTGGAGTAGTGCGCCGGAATAGTTGTGCGCTGCACACAACACACCTCTTTGGTCTGGATTTCTCCTCACACGGGAGGCCGGGGTTTAGCTAACCACGGTCAATCGGCTGTGGCATCCCATAAGCGATGTGGGGGGCGTCGGCGCGGTACGGGACTCGGGGTGAGTTTGCGTCATAGTCTCGTGATGTGAACAGCCCCGTACTTCCTTGCTGCGTGCGGATGCGTCTGCCTCCCTACGTGCTGGCTCTATACCGGAGGAGTAGCTCTGACGTCGCTTGCTGAGCAAGGGACGTCCCCGACTTGTGGGCTCCGTGGCGGGTGGAGAGCTCCAATGGTAAATCCAAACCATACCTCCTCATGGATAAAGAGGCTAAAAAACTTAATAAAACAATCACTAACACCAACAAACCCAGGGTTGCGTCTTTGGACGTGTCGCGGTGCAAGTCACCAGTGGCGCGATACTCTGATGCCCCTGTCACACACACGGATGCACCCTCACGGGCAGCGTCCGGGACCCCAAAGGAGAGGGCAGCGGCTGGGGTTGCACCAATCCGGGCTGCACTCCGGCCCGTACCCAATCCGTTAGAATCCCCTATACCACCGCACAAGGATGTGACCACTGCTGCGGCCAGGTTGACTGCGTCGGTCGAGCCAAAGATGGCAACTCCGGACGATGATACAGCATTGTCTGCGTCTGAAGGGGGTGCTTCCGCGGCAAGAACGATGCGGCAGACCGAGGCTGCGACGGAGGGCACGTCCAGTGCACTAACCACGACCATGGATATGTCGGCCCTGAAGACCGCAATTCAGGAGCCGGCTTTCAAAATGGTCGTAAGCAACTCTTAAAGGCGACGGCACAGGAGAGCCATAAGGGCGCCGGAACAGCAGAAGCTGGTCACCGGCGCTCCGAGGCCACCTGTGAAACCTGGAACTGCCCCCGCTGTAACCACAGTAGAGAGAGGCGGGAAAAGGACACCGAAGCCTAAAAGATCCACTGCTGCGCCCATGCCTAGCTGCTCTGGGTGCGGCAAGGGACTTAAGAGTTCTAAAACAAACCAAGCCACGAAGGGCCAGAAGCGCGACCGGCCAGAGGAAACCGTAACACCGACTGGGGAAAGTAAAAGGGTCAAACCCAACAAACCCCAGACGGTGGCAGGGACCTCGGGCAGTTACGCGGAAGCGGCAGCATCATACAAAGCTAACGAGCTTTGTGTTGCCGTGATAACATCCGCCTACAAATCGAGGGTAAAATTCAAGATGAGCTTCTGGCGGATCTTGATGCTACCCTAACTACCGAGCCCAACGACATCAGGTTCCGGGGTAAGGCCCATTTCTCGGATGGTGTCCTCAAAACTTGGTGCGAGGACACTTACACTCTGAGTTGGCTGACCGGAACTTGTGATGTCATCACAAATCCAGTACCTGACACCAGGTTGGTGGTTCGGCCTCAATCGGCGATTCCGAACAAAATTCCGTGTCTGCTACATGTACCAGACTACAGTGGCAACACGGAAACACTGAGGAAACTGATCACGAGGCAAAACCGCCACCTCAACATCAGATCCTGGACCCTGACACACGAACGAAGAACTCAGGACCCGACAGGCGTGTCCCTCTTCTTTCGTGTGCCAGAGTCTGAGATCTCTAAAATCAAAAGAACATAATCGGCGTTTATACTACCTGATGGGGAACATCTATATCCGCATCCTGGATAGAGATGGACCATCGCAGGTGGCCAACGCCCCACCAACTGCTGCCAGCACATCGGGGGTGGCGTCGTCGGGGCCGGGGCTGCCCACGTCTCTGACGGGGGCAGATTCGGTCACCGGGGCACACGTCCCTATGGAGGTAGCTACACAACCACCGTCATCGGTGCAACTAACTTCGGATGATGAGTTGTTTCAGGAGACCGGGGGGAGTGAATTCAGCGACAGCTGTCTGCGCTCCTCCCCATCGCCGAATTGACCTTATCCAGGCTAACCTCCAGCACAGTCAGACAGCGTCGGCTTCCCTACGCAGACTGCTGGAGACCAATCCGAAGACCATCGCCGCGATCCAGGAGCCGTGGATCAGGAATGGCAAGATATGTGTCCTGGGCAGCACCGGTGGTAAACTTTTACTGGATACCTCCGTAAGTAACCCTAGAACTTGCATAATCTTGCCTAAACATGTACCAGCATTTCTAATAAACGAACTCTGTTCAAGGAACCTTACAGCTATTAGGTTACCCAGAAACAATCAACCAGACGTCGTCCTGGCGTCCGCCTACTTACCAGGTGACGAGGACGTGCCCACTCCAGAACTCGGCCTTCTGGCTGACTACTGTGAGAGGGAGAAACTGGAGCTAATCATCGCGGCGGACTCCAATGCGCACCACACGTTATGGGGTAACGCTAGTACCAACACTCGAGGTGAGGATATGCTTAATTTTATACTTAGCAATAACCTTAACCTCTTGGGACCTCTTGGCAACCAATGGCTCATAACCAACTTTTATCAACGCGCGTTCGCAAACAATCATTGACTTAACAATGGTAACTGCTGGTCTGTCAGATCACATACGTATCCAGCGAGTTATCATGCTCGGATCATAGGTGGATCCGCTTTGCAATCAAAGGGGAGCTACCTAAACCTCAACCTAGACGTATACCGCGGAGAACCGATTTGGTAAAATTTTATAGACTTATTAGCTCCGAGGTAGACAAACTATCGATACCAACCACCATAAATATACAAGATATAGACAAACATGTAAACAACCTAACGTCCCTACTCCTGACAAGCTATGAACGGTCGTGTCCCCTTACCATACCAAGATGGGGGGGGAGACATAACTGGTGGTGCCCCGAACTGGAGAGACACCGACAGAAGGTCAGGAAGCTGTTCAATAGAGCAGTGAACACACGGTTACCCACCGACTGGGACAAGTACACGGTCGCGAGAAGGCGATTCAAAAAACTTTTACGTACTAGGAAGCTGGAGTGTTGGAGACACTTCTGCACCAGTATTGAAAACAACAACCAGGCAACCAGGGTGAAATCATGCCTCTCCAGAGAGCCCAATCACTCGATCGGTTGTCTTAAAAAACCTGACAACTCATTTACAAAAACTGATTCAGAAACATGTGAACTACTACTGGCAACACACTTTCCGGGTTGCATAATAGCCAACGAACAGGCCTGGCAACCATACTCAGAGAGAGCCACCGACAGCTCAGACTGGCAAGTAGCTCACAAAATAATCACTAATGAAAAAGTAACGTGGGCAATCAACTCCTTCCTTCCATTCAAAGCGGCTGGTTTGGACGGCATCTTCCCAGGCCTACTAAGATGGAGTGGGAACTTAATAGTAGACTATCTTGTCTCTGTCTTTCGAGCCTGTATAGCCCACCGATACATACCCTTGAAATGGAGAGAAGTAAAAATCATATTCATCCCAAAACCAGGTAAAGAGGACTATACCCAAGCGAAGTCCTTCAGGCCTATTAGCCTTACTTCATTCTTCTTAAAAACGATGGAGAGGCTGGGAGACCTGGAGATACGCAGCCGGGTATCGCTATCCAAATTCCTACACCCTAACCAACATGCCTATAGCTCGGGCAAATCAACGGACTCATCACTCCACAACGTCGTGTCTCGCATTGGCAGCTCCCTGAAGTTAAAGCAGTCAACCCTTGGTGCATTCATTGACATCGAAGGTGCTTTTGACAAAACAAACTTCACGAGTATAACCAGAGCATTAAGGTCATGTGGAGTACCATCAACCCTTATAGAATGGATAAACAACATGCTAAAACAACGAGCTATACAGTTCACGGTAAACTCCACAACACGAGGCATTGTCAGCGGAGGATGTCCGCAGGGAGGTGTTCTATCGCCGCTACTGTGGAACCTTGTGGTTAATGAACTTATCACAGAACTCAACGCTGACAATCTCTACACTGTGGGATATGCTGATGACATAGCTATCTTGATATCTGGGAACTTTGAAAGCACCTTATGTGACCTCATGAGAAGAGCTTTCAAAGTGATTGAGAGATGGTGCAATGAGCACGAGTTATCTGTCAACCCATCAAAAACAGAACTAATACTTTTTACCAACCGAAGAGTTCTTGGACCGTACAGACTTCCGAAACTCTTCAACACTGAACTCATACTCAAGAATGAAATCAAGTACCTAGGTGTGATTTTGGACAGTAAACTGCTCTGGAACAAGCATCTAGAACACAAACTAAACAAAGCAACGATCGCCTTTTATCAATGCAAAAAGATGCTAGGCGTGAAATGGGGCCTATCGCCTAAGATAACATTATGGATATACACTGCCATAATTAGGCCAATGCTGGCCTACGGAGCCCTTGTTTGGTGGCCCAGAACAGAACTTCAAACGGCAATTACCAAACTCGGACGCTTCCAGAGGCTTGCTTTGTCCGCTGCTAGCGGTTGCATGAAAACAACACCAACTGCAGCAATGGAGATGGCCCTGCAGATCTTACCCCTGGACCTACACATACAGCAGGAGGCAGCCCTGGCTGCTATCAGGCTTATGGTACTGGATCTATGGGGAAAAAATCACTACAGTGCACACACAGCGATTCTCAACAGGGCAATAGAGTATCAACCTCTTATTGCTGCGCCCTGTGATAGAATCACTAACCAATTAATATTTAACAGAAAATATCACATACAACTGAGAGAAGAGGAACATGATCGGTCGACCGTGAATGAGCTACGTATATATACAGATGGATCCAAAACAGGGTCTGGCTCAGGCGCTGGCATATTCTCTCTTGATCTCAACATCAACATACACCTACCCTTGGGCACACAGAGCACGATCTTTCAATGTGAATGTGTCGCCTTAACCGAAGCAGCCAGAGCCGTGCAACGGCTAGGGATTAATGACTTTTGCATTAAATTCGTATCCGACAGTGCATCCGTGCTGATGGCGCTCGGAAACAAAAAAACCAACAGCAAACTAATACTGGAGTGTCATGAAGCACTGGAGGTCATAACCCGAATCAATAGGGTTACCTTGCAGTGGATAAAGGGACACAGTGGATCTCTCGGCAATGATGCTGCAGACGAGCTTGCGAGAAGAGGCTCCGGAATGATGCCTGCTGGCCCGCATCCGCTCCTTCCTTTGCCCTTCTCGCTGGTGCGAACCTGGATTCGCCAGAGATCCGCTGAACTCCAGCAACAACGATGGTCGCATGGTGCGGCCTGCAGACAGTCCAAAGTGGCTCTGCCAGCAGTAAACCCGCAACTGACAAAGCGACTACTAAACTTAAATAGAACCAACCTTAAAATAATGATAGGGACAATAACGGGTCATTGCCTCCTAAATAAACATCTTTTTGTCCTAGGCGCGACAGACAGCCCCCTGTGCAGAGGCTGTTTCAGCGCAGAGGAAACAGTCACCCACGTAGTCCTGGAATGCGAGGCTGTGTCTAATCAACGTGAAAAAATCCTCGGAACGGTGAGGTCGCTCCGGGAAGCCTGTGAAGTGCCCAGGAGACTTCTGTGCTTCTGGAAGGAGCTAGGCTGGCTAAATTAGCCAGGACTCGTACGCACAACGGACCAACCACGAGTCTAATTGCGGAGAAAGGAGTCCTTCTACCCTAACCCCCCCTAACCCTATCTTGCATTAAAAGAAAATCTGGGCCCATACCATATGCTGCGGGCTAATATGATCTTCGAGCACATTTTCAATGTAAGTTTGAGCACACAAGCGCCCGGGAACAACGACGAGATCTGTGCGCTCGTCCAAACTAACTCCGCCCCAAACCATCACAGAGCCACATCCAAATTTGTCATATTCCTGGACTGCTGCTGCACTGTATCGCAAGCCGGAGACGACCATCGCAACGTGTTAGACGGAATCGTGATTCGTCAGTAAAAAGCACTGGCCTCCAATGTCGAAGTTGCCAATTAGCGTGATTTTGCGCGAACTGTCGGCGAGCTTGTCTATGTTGAATTGTTAGACGCACAGCCCGAACTGGTCGGCGTGATCTCAAATTGGCTTCCAACAACCTATTTCTTACCGTCTGGTCGGAAATTTCTACACCAGTAGCCGTCCTTAGTGTATTTTGTAGATCTCTTGCAGTTGTGGTGCGGTTACGTAAAGCACAGTTGACGATGTAGCGATCTTGCAAACGTGTAGTTTTTCTCTTTCGACCTTGACCACGCCTTCGTGAGTATTCTCCCGTCTCACGGTATCGCTTCCAAAGTCTGTAGATAACAGAAGGGGCTACTCCTAGATCATTTCCTACATAACGCATAGTTCGACCCTCTTCAAGCAAAGCGATAGCTCGGGAGACATGCAATTCAGTCAGATCTGGCATTATGACCTAAACTCACTCGCTTCAATGAATAACAATACTCAAAAGGCTCACTTCAATTTCTATTAATACTCAAAAGATTGAAAAAAACTACTTAAAATGTGTTTTCTGTGATTAGAAAGTAATGAAAATTCAAAGACGTCACTTTGTTTTTCGTCTACAATGCACATTTTAATTTTTTTTTATAAAAAAAAATACAAATTGATTTTTTTTATTAATTGTAGTAATTAACAACTTAACAAGGTAAAAAATAGCGTACAAGTTAATTTAAATCTAATTTTAGTTTAAGCAATTGAAAGGAGAAAAATCTTGTTCCGCTAATTGTTTTGAGCAGTATATTTAACAGTGTTGATAATCCAATTTTTTTAAGATAACTAAGAATAATGAGATTTACTATTTTGAATTAAAAACAAAGCCGGCTTACACCATATATACGACGAACATTATGTACTAACAAACAGAGTAAATATGTTTAAACTTTTTTTTTTATAGAGCAGGAAGCAAACGGGCAGGTGGCTCAACTGATGTTAAATGATACCGCCGCCCATGGAGACGTACATCTCCAGAAGGCTCGCGAGTGCGTTGCCGGCCTAATAAGAATTGCTACGCTCTTTTCTTGAAGGACCCTAAGTCGATTTGGTTCGGAGATACTTCAGTGGGCAACCGGTTCCACGTAGTGGTGGTGCGCTGCAAAACAGCCTTAAAGTTCCGTTGTGGAACGACGGACGTCGAGGTTATACGGGTGGAATTTCGTGTTCTGCCTCGACGTCCGATGATGGAACTCCTCCGATTCATAAATTCAAGTTTTTATATATGTAATATGTATGGTATAATGAAATGACCATATAGTTGACGCGTAATCATAGTCGTCTGTCTATACATTTGTGTATACAGAAAGCGCTCAGACAACTTAAAAATACAAATAGCTGTCCCTTAATCCACACACATTTGAGAGAATAAAGTGAAAACCTAGCACAGTTCACATGAATTTTCCACTCACGTCTGCAGTATGAGCTGTCGCGTATCGGGGTCCTTGGTGACGTAAGCCGTGAGTCCCACCGCAGAGGAGCCTCTGCCGGAGGTGTACTGCGCCCGAGGGACCAGGGAGTGCACCCAGCGCAACAACTGGGATTTACTCGTCCCCGGATCTCCGCACAGCAAAATGTTTATTTCCGATCTGAAATGTTCCATGATGAAAGGAATCTTAATAATCGCTTAGCAAAGATGGCGCAATTAAAAAAAAATATATTCATTTTATATAATATGTAATACAATAAGTGAGTGTTTTTAATTCAATTTTTTTTAATGTATCAGTACAATTTTAACTTAAACTGGTAGTACGAAATCCGGCTGCAGAAATGGTGCGCTCATCGGTTATTTGCTAAAAACCAAGGTGCCTATCAAAATTTGGCCGCTAGTATTTTTAGTGAAATTATTTTGAATTGATTTATGGAAATACATTTCGTTCACTTATTATTTAAATAAAATATCGTCTACGTCACGGCAATTTACATAAAGATTTAAAATAATCACGGGTGCACTTCTTCGTAGCCAGGTGTAAACAGGTACGATTTCGATACACGTTCATAACGTACATTTATTAATTATATATCAAATTGAAGCTATTTTTTTTATTAATTATCATACATGGGTGCCTTGATCTTAGACTATGGGTACATACTTCATGAAGAAACAGTGGTCAGTCGTAAGAAAAGAAGGAAATTAGTATGGGAACAATAGGAAGTAAGACTGATGATAGTAACTAATGCTTTGCCTTGAATAGTTCAAAAATACGCATACACTAAGGAATTATGCAATTGAGGGCGTAACTAATAAATAAAACTGGCAACACATAATCAAATTCTAAATTCCGAGTTTTAATATAGCTCATCAAAATTTATTTATTAATGAAAAAAGAGCAATTCACATACCTAAAGTGTGTCCGACCAGCGGCATTGAAGTTCTTCTTGGTGCCTCCGAGAAGCTGCAGCAGCACTCCCTTCTTAATGTCCAAGTTCTCGTAAATAGACGGCGCTATGGCCCTCGCGAGCCTCTCGTAGCAATCCGGCTGCGAGGACAACGTCTTGAACATTTCCACGCGTTCCGGAGGAAACTGGTGCTCTTTACTGAAAAAGGATTTTTATAATTCACTTATTAATTATTGAAGTGAAACTTCTTTATCGAGGTTGGAAAAAAATTTAGTCTAACATTTTTCGTTACGCGTCACATTTTTCGGTTACGCGCCATGTTGCTTTTCGAAGTCAAACTTCTTTATCGGCGTTGGAATGAAACTTCTTCATCGACGTATGGGAGAAATTTTGTAGCAAATCGTCACGTTTTTCAATGATAGTAATAATTCTATTACAATTAATGAAATTCTATAAAAATCTTCGTATTAATAAGGTAAAATGGAATATTTGTATTCATGTCTATGATAATAAAATCCTTTAGTTAAACTTTATCTAATTTAACGAATTTCTGTAAAGTTGCATATAGTAGATCATTTTTCGAAAAATAAGATCATAAAGAAGTTTCACTTCTTACGTGTGTACACCTAGTACACGCACAATTTATTTTTGTACGCTTATGAATGATGATGACACTGAAATGTATCTGCCACGCCCATTTACACTTGACTTATTTATTTAGTTATCAAGCCCACAACATCACACACAGTCATAAGTCCACCAACTATTTTACAAAATCCCACATCTAAAATGTGTGACAGTTATGAACCAAAAAAAAAATCAAATTTAAAATTAAAAAAAAAAATACAACTTAAAACACACACGACAATGATTTTACTTGTACATGTAAAAAAAAAGAAAACCATCAACCCAAAAAACAAAAAAAAAAAAAAAAAAAAAAAAAAAAAAAAAAAAAAAAAGGAAAAAAGGGGTTAAAAAAAAACCCCACAATGCCTTCTCTAAAACCGATCAGCCCACTACCGAATATATCCAGCTCTGGATACGCTGTGTTCAATATTGACTTCAAAATTCTATAAAATACTGTAACCCCCAATGGGGCAATAACCAAAAACCTTCTGATGATTTTTTGTACAGTAAACCCTTCTATAACACGGTACATTGGTTTCGCGTTATAGGATACGCGTTGTAAAAGTACTTTCGCATAACTCGTTTGTATGACCCAATATAACGCTTTATGTACAATTGGTTTACATTTAACGTTTCTCGTCAAAGAGAATTTCAAGTGAATTAAGAAAAACTATGTTATGGACGAAATAAGTGCGTACAAATGTCACAGTACATAAATATAACGTGTGCAGTACCCTGTACCCGTGTTATACTGTATACAAGACTGAAATCGCGTAATATGTAAATGGGTTATAAAAGTACGTGTTATAAGCGAATTTACTGTATAGTCAAGTAGATTATGACATTTTTCCTTCACTGGGCGTAGCCGGGGTTTGAACGCAACGACTTAGGGCTCACATTAAACGATAGAAATGAAATATTTCTCACCCCTCTTCCATATCGTGCAATCTATCAGAATGGGTTTTCTTGTAATGCAATGAGTCTATGTGGGTCCTATGCAATGCCCGGAGTGTTGCCCTCCGAGGGTTGACGGACGCAGGCGCAGCCCGGAACACTCCGGTCACCGCGACCCTTTCTCCCGCCCCCACCCCTTCCACTAAGGCCCCATGGGCCATTACACTGACGGTGGCTGGGGTCCGACCGGCTGGCATATCATCTGGAACACAGAAAATGGACCGCTGATCACCTCATTTTTTTGCAGTCGGTTTAAAGTTTTACATACAAATATGTCCACAAAATTTTCAAAAAGTCGAGATGTTTTTGATTTAAATCTACTATACAACACCGACACACCGATAGTCCAAGTTTCATGAAAATCGGTTTAATCGTTTTTGAGATATAGATAGAACTCGTATAACTTAAATAATGTCGTCAGACCTGAACCTTGGTTAGAAGACTGAAGACGCATACGTACCGGGGGCCTCTTGCAGCTTGACCAGCTGTTTGTCGGTGAAGTGCGAGCGGTTGTGTATGAGCTGGAAACTGTGCGCCGTGCTGCAGTGCGAGCAGTGAGCGGGCTCCGGCACGCGACCCCGCTCCAGCTCCGCCGCCGCCCCCGCCCCGCACACCCCGCACCGGAAGTAGGCTTCGCGCATTTCCGGCACGATGGTCGACGTGCGGATCACCATGCCCGATATGGTTACCAGTTGGTCGATGTCTGGAAATATTTTCAGCTGAGTTTTTATATGTCGTCTTAATGGAATATAAAATTAATTGAACTAGTGGTACTAAAGAGCACAAAACATACCCATAATAATGCATTTAGAAATATAAAAATACATCAACAATGCTATTTTTTTACTCTGGATTTTATTTATTTTGTTTGGGGAGTAAGGTTTTATTACATATTAAAGTTAAGTAAGTGAGTAAGTGAAAATGGGACTGATAAATATAAGCTTCAAATATAGACAAGTCTATGAACTAAAGAAAATAGATTCACCTTCAGGATTCAAATCCCTCATATGCCTATGCGGTGCATTGTATGGCCTGACCTGTATCTGATGTTCCAGCACTGCAGCTGGATACTTTTGAAAGAACAACTCATTAACTGCTGCGTCAAATGCTGGAATCACCTGTAAATGCAATATTATAAATAATTTTCTTAAATAAGCACATTTTTTACAAAATTGTGATACAGTAATCTTTCGTCTCTTACTGTAAAATTTTGTTTATGCTATTATATAAAGAGACAGCAGATCACTTTAGCTAGAACAGTGCACTTGTCTGATCTTTTCTTTTTGAATATGAATACTAAAACCCTTTAACAAAATATATATTATTACACTTACCTCTTGAGGATAACAAACAAATTGTCTATGGAGTTTAGCATCAAAAACTTTAACATGTTCACAATCAATATCCAAAAATGGCTCTTCAAGGGTGTGAATCTGGAATATAAATTAATAAAAAGAATTAGGCACAGAACTTATATCCCAATGTAAGTTGTCTTTGATTGACATAACCTTTACACATTTAAAGAAAAAACTTTTACAAACAAACTAAAAACAGATTAAAGTTATGTATTATTATAAATTTACAACTATTTAACATAATTTTAAATTTATTTATCCGACGTTTCGCGTGCTTTACAGCGTGCGTGGTCACGGTGAGTCACCGTCCAATGTAAGTTACAAAACAGGTAAATTGTATACAATTCAGCTGCGCCTTATAACACTAATTAATTCAAAGTTAACCCCTATTAGGACTATAATATTTACCTCCTCCAGTTTCATTTCATATAATGGCTCATTGGTGACTGCAGTGGGTTCGACAAATCTCTGGAGAAACTTTATGAACTTCTCTCGACATTCTGCAATTGCAACGTCCGTACCCCACACTACAAGCTGAGGCTCGCTTGAAGCTGTTTCTTGACCTCCTTCAGCCTATAGATAATTTTTATAAAACCATTATTTCCTAAAAAAAACAATTGTTTCTTACTAAATCATGTAAATATGCTAAATATTCTACACAAAAATTGATATTTTTTTATCTCATTTTAAAATAGTACTAGGCACTTAATTACATTTATAAAAAAGATATAAAATCTAATCTAATATATAAAGGTAAACAAAGAAATTATTGAGTATTAAGAAGATTCCATTAAATGGCTGTAATACTCAAGAAAAGTTGTTTTAGAAAACAAGAATAATTATTTGTATCTTACAATGAACTAAGTTTACATATAATAAAGTTAGATATATAAAATAGGCATTACTCAAATTGTATAAATATTTAAAGTGTTCCTACATGTCTTGTTGGAGTAGGTGCAGGAACATTTGGACCCACTTGATGTCCTCGCAAGTCAGCTCTTTGTCTTGCTGGAGTCATAGCTCCCCTCATGAGTGATCGAGGTGTGCTCAGTGAGCTTGGTGTTCCATAGTTCAATGGCGAACTCATATCAATATCCATGCCTATAAAATACTTAAATGATTACTTTACTAATATAACAATATGAAGTTTCATTAAACTTTTGATAACTTCTCTTCTACTTAATTAAGACAAATTGTCATCAACATTTTACATTATGTGAAAATTAATCATAATAGGTAAGTAATGTTTGCATAAACCCATTCAAAACCAAGATTTGTGTTGATTTACTTATAACTTTAGTGATTATACTGATATATAGTACTATATTAATGTTACTACACGGAAATTACCAATAGGGCTAGATTCAAGAGCTCTGGCTGGGGAAGTGCCTGGAACCTGGTGAGTTGGAGTGCGCGGTGTTCTCCGCGGAGTTCCTGGAGTTCCATCTGTATAAAAAACAAACTAGTAATTAACATAACCTGTTGTTATCAAATTATTTACTTCTTGGAAGGTCTAGAAAACAATGTCAGTCCTGTTAATGCGAATAATTAAACGTTATAAAATCTTTACCTTTTGACGGAGTACCGGTAGACCGTTGAGGTGTCTCGGGTACGATTACTTGTTGAGACGCTCGTGTTCTGCGAGATGGTGTTAGGGCTTCTGAAGAAGCTCGCGAAGATGGTCTTTTAGAAGGAGTTGACATTTTGATATAACGAAAACTTTAGATCACATTAATACAGAAAGCAGTTGTTTACTATTTAGAAACTCTACACCTCATTAATGTTTACAATTCGCTATCGGTGAATGGCATTTGGCGCCAAATGGAGAAACAGTTAAATATTATACTCTTGACGTTGGCATTTTCACTTTTGACAACCATTTTAAATGTTGCCCGTTTATAAACAATGTAGTCCTTCCTGAAAAGTATTTAAGTGCTGAAATGTTTTTCCTTTTTTATTAATTAGTTTCATTCTTCTAGAATGGATCAAAAAAGGATTGCTAGTCCGATTGAAATCATATCTACCAACCAACGAAAAAAGAAAGCTCAAACTCAGCAGATCAAGTTGTCATAATTATAATTCAAAAGCACAACAAAATATATAACAAATTATATTTTGTAATATTGCTTTAGGTTGTTGAGATTAAACTTGAACGAGATTTTGATTAGTTTTATAATTTGATTTAATTAATTAACAAACATAATTTTAATCACACACTATAATATGTTTGATAAGAATTTAGCTATCGTTGGAATTGTCCACAATAAAATTATTTTCATCAAATTCTGATTTCTTTAAAAACATTATTTTTTTTAATCAATAAATTAACTATGATCGACAATGAAATATACTATCTAATGAGTTTTTATTTTTATTGATTCTAATTGTTACACAAAATTTGATATATGATTAAAATATTACTAAATTTTACATCAAACTCCATAAAATGAAGCATTTTTTTTCTTGAGGCAGCTCCGTCCGTTTGTTTATGATATATTCTATCACAACTCACAGGTAAAGTGTATTTATCTGAAAATATATTTATTTATGATTTAAAAAAATAAACAATCTAACATAACTGTATACATATTTGAACAGTACAATTATTTTTTACTAAATAAAGGAAATTTTGCTGTCTTCAAAATTCATTGATGAAAACCATAGACATCGCGTTTATTTTTAAATCAATTGATCGTTCATTCACCGCTGTTGTTTTCGTGGTGTTTTATTGATAATAATAAATAAATACACGATTATTGCGAAATAATATTGTATCGCGATGACTAACAGTATCGGTAATTAGTGCAATAAAATCTGCGTAGTTAATCTTAGACTTTCTATGAAAATTAATGGTTCTACTTTGTGCAATCTACCTACAAGCTACATAGTCAGGCATATTTTTGTAAATTATTGCTGTGACTTCGTATTTCATATCTTATTTTCCACTAAGACGTTTTTAAAGGTTATAGTGTTTAACGAAATATGAACAAAAAAATCTTCATAATATAAATTTTAGAAGCAATCTGAGAAAGTTTAAGGTAAGTGTATGGTGTATAATTAGTTATTATAATTTGTGATTCACTCCTACATCCATTATGTTCAGATAGCGAACGCATGAACAAACAGGAAGACTTTGAAAACCCTTTGGATTAATTTGTTTTTCTAAACGCACAAATTTAGATATGTATAATTTTCTTAGGTATTATATCTATATATAATGGTGTTTTCGAAAGTGTGTTCGCGATAACATACTCTAATACAACTATATCAGATTGTTTTATTTCTAAAGTAACATTTACTTTACAATAAACTATAGAGACTGCAAGAAAGTAATTTTCCATGACATGTGTATGATACTGCAATGAGTTGCATTGTCATTGACCCCAAAATACCTACCTATTAATAACAATATGCAAATTTCACTTTGTGATTCTGTACAGCCAGAATTCTGTCATTAGACTTCTAGTTTATTTTAGACCATAGAAGATAAAATAAACACTTGAAAATAATAACAGCAATATATTATTGGTTTGCTTTTGTTGCATTTGCATATTTTAATTAGCCTTTAGGATTTTAATTACAAATTTAAACAAATCATTTTAACTTATTAGGTACTATGTTACCCAGTCTGATAATGTTTGATACAAATTTATTCTATTTTTGTTTTTAAAAAATTACTATAATTTGTTTTATTAATATCTATATTTGAGGATTAGCTTGATTAACATGATACTTATTAAATATGATATAGGAAATTAGTGCTATACTATGTTACATTTTTTTTTTTTTAAATTATTTATAATTATTGTTGTTGTAATTAGACAATAATAGTACTTCTTTAATTGGAGGTTATGCATTATCCATAGATTATTCTTTCTATGCGCACAAATAACACTTACACATGCAGTCAAGAGAAGTATTGTGCAGGGACTTGTATATCATAGACTCTTAAATTTATAAATAAAAAATTATTACTGTGAAAGCAAAACTTTGATAAATTAAATAGGCCATTAGTTTATTATTAATCAGATTGTGGCATAAACTTAAAAATCTGTAGGTTGTTGTAACTGTGCCTGAATATTAGAAAAGTTGTCTTGTGATATATATTTAGAACAACTGCCTGGCATCATATAGGCATGTATTGGTTTTTATTGGAGGGTCTTTCTATAAAAATATGTTGGCATACAATACAATATCTAAAAGCTTTGGACTTTGGTATTATTTATGATTAATGCTCTTATGTTGATTATTGTTTATAATGAGCATATGTTTCATAATGTGGATTACATATTTAATAATTCAGTTTAAATATTATCATTATTTATTAATTTATAAATCTAAGGACAATATAAAATTTGTAACATTCCTATATGATATCATAAAATTTTAATCTATAATCTCCATTCCTGGTATTCATTTAAAGGATTACATACCTTAAACTATTATAGTATATTAATATATAACTGATAAAATACCTTTACTTCTAACAATATAGCATATAGAAATAATATAAAAGTGTTTTTACTAAAAAAATTGGTACCTATTTTTATTATTTATTGGTTATAATTTATAAGTGCACCATGTATTCTAGAAATTTAAACATTGTATTTAAAACCTAATTACAAACAAGTCACTTTGATAAAAATGGTTGGCTACGAGAACGGCAAAAATATCGACGTATTGTTCTACGTAGGGGCTGAGGACAAAGACCTTTAATACTGTAATGCCGTTCGGACATGTTTTTTTTAAACAATCTATACAGAAAACAATATTTAATGGATTGTACGCAGTTGCACCAATATATAATACATATTGTATGTTAATTAGACAATGTAAAGAATATTCCATCTCATTCCATATACTTTGGTACCTCCAAATTAGGTTTTTTCTCTCTTAAATATCGATATCGTTACTATATAATAAAATCAAAGGCGGCTTAAGCGGGCATTATAAAACTATAGTCAAATAAAGTTGCTGACATTTTTCACGAATTGAGTGTCTGAATAATTGTTTTTTTGTTTCGTGTATCTAAAGGTTAAAGCCAATGACGTATTGTTAAAAATAGCTTTACAGCTGTGACTTCTTTTAACCTTAGTAAGTTTTGAATGTTGTAGAGAAACCTGTAGCTTTCTTAGCTTCTTTACAACATTAATTATCTTCGGAGATCTGGTTACAATTTTTTCTCTGGCCGGTTCCACCGGTATTGTACGATCGGGTTACTACTTACTATGTGTATTATTATGCGAAACTATTTTCTGTTTAGACCACCGTGAAAAATTAATTAAAGCTACCACATTCGATGGTAAAATTCAGTATTGCAGCCACAGCTCGAGGAGAAATCCCGAAAAGCATATCGTGCGCATATAAAATATTCACCTTCAGATGATTGGATTTACTCTTATTGTCACAGATTGAATGCTGTAGGCATACCCGATTCTGTTGAATTTCACCCGCGTCCAGCCACTAATTAAATTTTAAATATTCTATATCGTACAGTACAGTTATTAGAATTAACTATTACTCACGGCTACGATATAATAATTACGCTGTGACTACCTACTTTAGTACATTACTTGTGTGGTATCACTGACTTCTTATCTTGCAAGGATCCATCAACTATAATTAAAAAACAAAAAGCCCTTATCAATTTGTGCTAAACATCCGCTGACTGTACGGGATTTCAAAACAATGACCTACCGAACACAAAGGAAAATTATCTATTTTTGAAGAAAACGTCATTTCCTGTTTGGGGGTTTTAATTTTGAACTATTTACACCAAAATAAAATATGTGTAGCTAAATGAGAATTGTATTTATGTTTATCATTTAGTGTAGAATTGAAAGAATATAAATTTGAATTCTTAGCCACAATCTATCAACGTGAATATATCTTCCAAATTTAAAAAAGGAATAGGTAATTTACATGACAACAAAAGAGTTTTCATTGAGCCTGTTCCCGGGAGATCATTTGTCGTATTCAGGATATTGTTGAGGACTGCGTTGACCGCTCAACTGGTGTCTGGAACAATGCCATTCATGTTAACAGATGTACTTGCCTTTGTTGTAGCAGGTAGTTCCGCATTTGTTCTTACTCTGGCCGTCACAATTGTGTTTAATTATAGTTTTCCAATCGTTGCACAGTATTCACTTCCTCATAAGATGTGAAGTTTTCTAATGAGCCGTAAAGCGATGACAGCATTGAAGGAAGTTTGAACAAAATGACAGAGTTATATAAATGAAAATTATTATTTCTAGCGGCTCTTATCATCAATATCTTTCACAGCAATCCTAGGAAATGTAGCTCCCATTGTACGAAATGTATTGTCTCATTCGATACCGAAAGCGCAGTTTCGCCGAAAGCCGAGCTACAAAACATACTACCTGCTCAAATAAATGGCTTTCTGTAATTGAACGTATTTTTTTTGTGTGCAATACCTTTTTTTATTGGCGGCTCTTTTGGCCTAATCCGGACAGGTAGATTTCTTGCAGGTAAAGAGACTGTACGTTGAAATAAAATTACCACGAAGACATGGTACCTAATTGATTGACTCAAAACATATTTTAATATAGCCTTTTAGGCCTCGTGTGATTTTTACAAGGAACATAGATTATAGAGCGCAGTCTCTGGTTTCAGCGAGCATTATTTAAACGAAACGTTGAAGTCGAGATTCCGACACTATTTCGTTCACCTACTGCAGCGGTCATGGTCATGGACGTATTAAAATAAGCGTCTTGAATTGTAAAAATAAGTAGGATGAAACTGGCGCGAGTTTAAAATAAAATCAATTATTGTTTAAAAATGTTGCAGTTAACCAAACAAGCGTTGTCATGAGTGTGTTGGTACAGGGTTGTTTCTAATCCGAGCAGATCGATAACCAGAGGGATTTCAAGACATCGCAGTATTATTGGTGATGGTCCCTGGGTTCGCCCTTCGGGATAAGGGCAGCTCCGTTAGGGAGGCCATCGATTTTTGGCCCCCTCGCGCATGTAGCGTACGGGGGCGTACTAAGATGGCGTGCCCGGACCTACCTCACGCGTATTCTATAACCAAGGTCACGAACAACGCGTCTCTACCAAAATATTCAATCGCGACACTTATACCACTTTCTCTTTCGATTCTATTGAGTTATGTATATAGTTGTCTCTTTTCAACTCATTGGGTCAATAGTCATCATTATAGGGCCGTCGCGTGTAATAGAATTACAACGTTTAACATAACATTTTATATTTTCGCATTTTATTTTAATTTTGTATAATCGACAAATACTTCATGTATTAATTGCATTACATTGCGTATTAAAATGCACTTACATCACACACGATATACATAAATAAATATAATTTGTAAATTGCTACCACTTACAAGTTTATTTGGAGCTAAATGTTTTGCTATAGTCTTATCGTAATAAAATAAAATCAATACAAAGTAGATGAACTGGGAGCCAACCCTAATCATAGCAAACCTTCTTTATCTAAATTATGGAAAATTTTGGAATGTGTATACAATATCCCTTTCTAACGCCCTGTGTTGTATATTACCATCCCTCTCATCTATTGCTACCTAGAAGCAAGGAGGGTAGGGCGCATTAAGTTTTTGGGATAGGATTTTTTTCGCAAACTGCACCAACTTAAACAACCCCAGTGCATGTTGACGCCGCTCTGGCGTTGGGTTTCTGTTTAGTATTTTTTTTCTTACATTTAATTGTTTTTAAATGTGATTATTTTGACGTTTAAGTGTTGTGTATTGTTATTATAAGTTTAATAGTTACTTTTAATATACAACGTGCACTATCTACAATTCGAGGTACTTATAGCTTGTGTTTCTTTGTATTTAATTTTTTAAAGTGAATATAAATACTATACATAAATTAAAATAAATTGCTATTACTAGAACGATACATATTTAAAAAAATAGACTATGATTTATTATACACCAAATCATATATATATATATTAGGGTTTCCTGGAAAAGTGTTTTTAGCTATAAGGCCGCCCGTTGCATTCCTTACAATTTTTATGTATTATGTTATTTGTTTTTGAATATAGTAACGAAGTGTGAATAAATTAATAAATAAGTTAAAATCTATTCTAATTATTTAAATTAATTCTATTAAATTACGGTGAACATAAAATTTACAAAAAATAACAAAATAGAGAATAAAAAATGTTTGTACAAATTTTAGTATTTACCTACGATAGGTTAGTTGAAATACTTATTACCCTAATGCGGATTAGGTACCAAGATACTGAACATTTTTTTTTTTTAAATTGATCAAGCTAAGATAAGTAGCGTTCAATCCGTTGTATTTGCGAAGAATTCGAATGAGACGTGCCTGACTCCTAGGTTTGTTTAATAGACGGAATTAGGAGGATAATTAACCTTGGGAATTATCAATATATGGGGAATGCAATCCCGCCCCATAAATAATATGAACAATTATAAATTATATGAGTTACATACTTATTTTTCTTTAAAATATTGTACCATAATGAACCTCATAAACACATCTTAGCAGTTTTCGTATATAATTAATTAATTACGTTGAATGACAATCAATAATATTTGTGTATTCAGTGCTAACATGTTGTTTTCTTCTTTCAGATCTAATGACTTGACTTCGCCGAGTCAAAATGACGTCGTTTGCTAATATGACGCAGTCGCTGGCGGCCAGTTTACCGGCCACATCCACCTCGTCCTCGGGCGCTAACCACGGCGCCACCGATCAAGAAGATCCACTCGGCATGTCTAACATCATATGTAGCCTTCTTGAGAATATGAACAAACCTTCTACCATGCAGGGTGGACCATCCAACTCCAGTTCATCTACTTTACCTTACGATATCTGGGCTCTACCATCTTGCAGCTCTCTACCAAACCCCATAGGGAGCTCCAGCCGTGACTATGGATCGACATCTAATAATAACAATAATGCCAGTCATTCCAAGGAAGACAACTCGAGCGGCTCGCCTGGGACATCGTCGTCAGTTTCGATCACCTGCTTCCGTTGCGAGGAACGGACTCCGACCATGCGTTGCCTCGAATGCAATGATCTATTCTGTCACGAATGCTGTCATAAAGTGACATCTGACTGCCAATTACGTGAACATACTCTGCTTCCAATTCATCAGATTTCACCGATCGGAGCGAGACCCAATTCCGTTACGAATGATAAGGAAGTCATGTATTGCGAGCTGCATTGTGATCCAGTGAGATATTACTGCGAAGCTTGCATTATCTTTATTTGCCAGGAATGCACTTTATGGGTGCACAAAGATCATTGCTACACTCCAATAAAAGGTGCGTTAGATATGTGTCGTATTGGTGTATTTCGGGCCATCGAAGACACAAAGACTGGAACAAAGGCAATAAAAACAGCCATCGATCGTGCCGTCGCCATGTCTAAAGCGTACGAAAAAGAGACAGCCGAAGCTAACATGAAAATCAGGAAGGCGATGCGTTGTTTTGCCCAAGCAATTGAAGATCGTGAAAAATATCTGTTGGATAAAGTAGAAAAGATGCGACAGGCCAAAATGAACGACCTAACTGATCACATGAATACACTACGGGGTATACTAGCAGGGCTAGCTCATACTAACGAGACATTAGTAAGGAGTATGGATTCAGAAGGAATTGACTTGTTTATGGCCAAAGAGAAAGGAAGAGCTCAAGTAGATTATTTCTCGTGCATGTTCAAAAATATGTACGTTAATGAAGAGCGCATTATGTTTATACCACCTAATTACGATTTAGTAGATCAGATAAAAAGGCAATGCGACCTGCAGTTGGCTCCGGTAAATGCTCTACATTCTTTGACATCATCATCGACACTACAATCTCGCCAATCCTTGCTGCAGTCTCTACAGTCAGCTCAAACCTTTTCGCCTTTGACATATCAAATGTCGATAACCAACAGTCTCCGCTCATTACCAGACTATACTACTAGTCACACCAGATCGACAAACTATTACGACCATAGTATATCTTCTAGTATTTCGATGGAGTCTAATCCTGCGCGTGGTATTGGTCAAGCTATACCTGGATATTGGATGTCAGTGTCCGTTAAGCCCACTAGGAGCCCAGTTCCTGGAGTACCGATGTTTTCTTTCGGTAGAGAGGGTCAAGACGAAGGTCAAGTTTCCAGACCTTGGGGATTGTGTGTCGATAGAGAGGGAAATATCATTGTGGCCGATAGACGAAACAACCGTATTCAGATATTTAATAACCGCGGCGAATTTAGAACTATGTTTGGCTCTAAGGGAACAGGTCCCGGCGAGTTTGACCTTCCCGCCGGCATCACAACTGACACCTACGGCCGCATCATCGTTATCGATAAAGATAATCACAGAGTGCAGATATTTACCTCTTCGGGTAATTTTATTCTAAAATTCGGATCGTTTGGAAAGGAATGTGGACAGTTCCAATACCCGTGGGACGTAGCAGTCAATACTCTGGGTAACATCGTGGTGACAGATACGCGTAACCATCGTATTCAGCTATTTACTAGCGACGGAACATATATCACCAAGTTTGTATTCGAAGGAGCCAATCCTGCGAAACTGCTGAAAGGACCTACAACTCCTAGAGGAGTTTGTTTTACGACTTCCGGTAATATAATAGTATCGGACTTTGAAAATCATCGTTTACTCATGGTGGATCCGACGCTATCCAAAGTCTTACATTGCGTAGGACGCGAAGGGTCCGGCATAGGTGAGCTGAATCGTCCATCCGGCATCGTAACAGATGACGATGGTCGGATAATAGTGGCCGATTCAAAGAATCACCGCGTCCTCGTTTTTACTTCGGAGCTGCGTATTCTTTGGGCCGTCGATTTGAAGAGCCCCGGCTTGGACGACAAGGACCGTCCCAGCGACGTGGCTCTGACCCCCGAGGGCTACCTCGTAGTGTTGTTCGAGACGCTGCCCGACACCGCGCGCGACATCTCCTCCCACGGCAAGCAATACATTAAGGTATACTGACTGACTAGTTTCGTAAAATTACACTTTGGGCCGTAGGTCTCTTATATTTTATTACAAGTATTTTTGTTTTGTTTAAGTTGTGATTTATTTCATAATGTGCCAATTTTATTATATTTGAAACCGAATCGAGCATAGCTTGGGCGGAGAGTTAGTATTTGTTCATTTACAAACGTTGCACAAATCGAATTCTCCTTAAAATCTTGAAACAACTTCGTTACCATAAATAACTTTTGATTTCGTTTCCGTATCGGACTAGTCTTAAGGGCCAAACGTGGTTTGCAATAAATGCGCTACAATTTCGTCGCAATTTATAGCTTGGAAATTATATTTAATCATATCTGATATACACCAAATCAATTCATTGTCTTCAGTTTAAAAAATAGCAATTTTCAGATATATTATGCAACGCATAACGAATTAGATGAAAATTGTCAAGACTTTTATTATGATTAGGATCACGATGTGATTTAAAAGATGTTTTTTATGTGAGATAATTTAAAATTAGCTTAAAAAGTATTTTTTTCCAAAATGTTACTTTTTGCGTTCTTTTACTTGATTAATTTTGGTTATTGGAGATTTTGTCGTAAGGTTGTAGATTTTAGTGAGTTGTTTTGCGTTTTGTAGATCATAATAGTTTCCTTTGCAGCTTCTAGTACTTTGCCTATTTTTACCCAATATTTTCATGACTGCGTTTAGTTTTTCTTCAGAGAGACTCGATCGAAATGGGTGTAAGACAACAGTGCTAAGAAATTAAATGCAATAAACTTTGAGACTGACTTTAGAAGACTGTCTTAAAGATGAGGGGGTGAACGTGCGCGTTCCGGGGTAGTTCTGCAGGGGTGATGCGAGGGGGGAAGGGTGGGGAGGGGGGGATAGATCGCGATTGATGCAATTTTACCAATAATTAGGTATTACTTTTCTTATGCATACTTAATACTATGCTACATATATATTTTCTCATTTATGTTCTCGTTTTTAAATTAATTGTAATGAATTTCGACTGGATTTATGGGCTGATTTTATTTTTATATTTAAAAAATTAAATTTCTCAAATATAATTTAGATTATAATTAATTTAGTTGTTATTTAATAATTTGAAACACTTATTAAAGGTCCCGATGACTTGTGTTAGGTAATTGTGAGCCGCGTTGGAGCAATTTCTAAGGTCGAAGTTGGCTCACCTAGAGCTGGGCGTGTCTGTGTAGGTTTGTCTTGTCTCGTGTGAGCTAGTCGATAGTTAATCCACGTTTATATGTGTGTTCGTGCCCAACACAATCGTATCTAAATATATCCTAGTCAGTCAAAGACGCTATTGCATTAGTAAATTGTTCGGCGCGGGGACATTCGGTTAGTTGAAATATTTTAGCGAAATTCATCCTTCAAAATTGAGAATTCTATAAGTATAGTATATTTTTTAAATCTTTCTAAGTATATCGAATGTATTCGATTTAACATGTGTTCAGTCTGTATGTGTTCACTATTTAAATGTAGGTTAGGTTAGAACCCGTCGGTTCTAGAACTATCATTGTCTAGTTAAATTGCGTGCTGTAGGCTAATTGTTGAGGTATCGCTTCCAGAATAGTTTAATAATCTTAATATACTGTTATCGTAATTATCAATATTTAGTCACTGGCGGTACCACGATGCTAGATGTATGCAATCCTAAAAGTCGTCCTATCTTTTCGCCTAGACCTTGTATTTAATGCCAAAGCTACATCTTCAGTGTTAGCTCCATCCTTCGACCGTGCGTACGGTCCTATAACCGCTTCTAGAGTATTCCAGAACAGTAGTATTAATATCAAGAAAATAAATGTCTCCCGTATGCATAATGTTAGTTAAATTTAATGTGTTAGAATTAAATTTTTCACGTTTTGTACTTAGGTTAAAATTAGATTATAGGAGTATATGCCGATTCGATGTTTAACTTCAAACAAAAATTTCTATGTAATGTGAAAATTATCTAGTTACGTAATAACTAATAGTTAAGTGTGGCTTAAGGTAGTGAAATTATTGTTTGGAAGGAAGATAAGCGAAGGGAAATAATCACTTTGCGCGTGTGTTGTTTTTGTTGGGCGTCCATTGCCAGTTGGGTAAATATCCATTAAAAGGAAAAGGCAGTATTCCAAGCAATGAACGAGCATCACGCTTATCAAATTATCAATAAATGGACAAGGCGAAAACGATGAAATGAAAACATGCAGTTTGCGTCTCTTACGGTCAATTATTAAGGTTTCGTTAATATTTTCTTTCATATCGCAAATATGAATTAATTACTTAATTTTTTTTCAGTGCCATTGTAAAAGTATTACGTTAATTTTAAAATACTATGTTGCATGAAATGCATTTTTTTATATAATTGAAAATTTTCTACGGAATTATAAACTTGACGGTCAAATAGTTATTTTTGTATAACGACTGAATCTCGGTATTTTAGACGGTGATTTACAATTTTGCATAACATAATACGGATTTGCAAAGCGAATTCTAATATTTTGCTACTAACTTCACGGTATTGAAAGTTCATTTTTCAATGTAACAAATCTTATGAATGCGCAATCTTGCTTAATATCAACGCGGATAACAGATTTCAAAGATATCTGATCAATTGACAATTTTCTGTAGACATTGTTATTTTTTATTCCAAAGCTAAAGCAGTGAAGCCTTCTCCTAAACTTCGGTCGATTCAGCTAAAAAGATTAACGCCAATCTTTGAATTCTGTTAATCTCTAGATAAAGAATCTAATTCTTTGTTGGTCTTCAGAATGACAGCATAATGTTAATTTTCATTATAATTTCTTATTGAATTGTTTAGATTTATTTTGTTAATTTCGTGAATGGGACGGAGCCTCGCTAGGGTCGCGTCCGGGACTCGAACAACAACGATTGGTATGAAATACGAGTGATCCTAGCGTGGAACCGTCCCGACGCACTTTGTAAAAGTGAACCAAATTTGAAACGCATAATATTGATGTAATCATCCGAGTCATAGATTTGATCGCGAGCAATGTGTGTGAGAGCTGCCAGCTACTGGCAGTATAAACATGGTATTGTGATAGATACAATAAAATTGAGAACTGCGCGTGATGATAATTTTGTACGTGGTTTTTCAATGTTTGAACTTTATCAAACGGCAAAGGAAAGTCGATTGGTTTCCTTTTAAAAACAGTGTTGTGGTAATGTAAGGCGCAATGCGATAACTGCACGATACGTAGATGAATGTATGGAGCCATTATACTTGTGCTATTTCTAATGTTAACTAGGCTTGCGTTCGTTGTGTTAGTCTTAGAGCGATCTCAGCCGTTCGTCTCTCCTTCACGCGTTTATCATATTAATGGAACATTTATCGTAGTGATCGTATTAAAAATACTCCTTGATAGCGTAGAGCGTGTTTAGCTTATGAGGTCTTTAGTAAAATTGTATGTCTCAATAAAATAGCAGATATTATCGAAGGAGAGATGAATGTCACCGAGTTTCTATTTAGAGTAACTGATAAGTAGTATTTTTGTATTCGTTCTCCGATCGGAAAAGTCACGGCGACTCGACCGCGGAGAAGGTCATGTCCCCGAGTCGTTTATGATACGTTCTAAATTGTAGTCCGGCTGAATGATGAGGTGGCGAACGATCTGGTAAAGACGGAATACGTAACAGAAATGACTCGATGCGTGCATAGTTACGACATACCGAACCTACCTCACTTGCAAAAGCATAAAGACTGATATGAATTAATTCAGCGGTGGTCAGATCACTGCACTAGAAGTCTGTTGTCTACTAGTATTAGCGAAATTCTTAATCGTAATTTCTTCACTTAAATTAAGCGTCCAATAATCGAATCAAATTTTACGTTAAACTCCCCGTTTGAAGATGACAACAGTCTTATTATTTTATAATAATTATCTATATCTTACGTTACTGTCCTGTAATATTGTTGAAAGAAGACTGATATTTTATAAATGTTCCTATATTTTAATTTAGAATAATTTACTGCCTACCAATTCATTTTATTTTAACCCTTCGGTAATGATCATTACTTTGTCTCTTGTAATATTATTAATAGTGCGTGACGCTATATTATGTCATGGATTTTTGAAAATTTTAATGCAATTTTGTATGAAAATTAATCAAGTGATTGATAAATTAAATGGTGTTTTATTTATATTCATCCCTTACCGTAGTTAAAATTATGATAATCACATGTTATTGAAGTATATAACTTAAAGTAATTTAGAAATAGGTACTCAGCTAAGTTCCAATTGTTAATAAAATGAGGAAAAAAATTTAATACTAGAACCTACACGTATGTACAAACTTAAAAAATAAAATGTCAAAAGTAAAAGTGTCAAATTTTATTTATATATTAACAGTAGCCAATAAAAATATTGGTATTGTTAATATGGGTCACCACATAAGCACGTTGTTCTCGAGTCTTGGGAGGTTTTTCGAGTATCCCGTAAAGAGGAAACCCATATGCTTTTATAGGCAAGAAGACTTTACCGCAACTGGTAAATATGTATTAACTTTAAAAGCAGAACTGAATTAACTAATTACGGAATTCTTAGGCTCCTCGGGAAATGAATTTAAAAAGGGCGTCGGGACTCATGTGTAATCTTAAGATGATGTATTCTACTAAGTGTCGCCCATGCACAACGACAACAATAATGTCTTAATTCCAAGCCACTTGCTTTGCAATAATTGTAGGTGAGCCTCAGAGAAAGGTAGCTGACACTCAGAAAACTACTAAGACTGATTATGACAAGCTAGTTGAATTGTTTTATAAGAGACTAGCAGAACAACGGCAGTATAACCAGGTAAATACATAAATGAGATTTGTTTTTAATCTATAAAGCTATTCCTATGTATATAAATAGTCCGGACCTTTGTTGTATATTTAAATAAAACAGGAAATGAAAGAGCAAGATAGACGATGGAGTATGCAGAAAGTAGTTGAAAGGTTTCCTGGGTGGAATGAGGTTACTATCGCGAACCTGCACAGTTTATTTCTTCTTTTCGACAACCAGTCAAACGGCATGCTTGGTTTCGATGATTTGTTAGTAATTCTCTAATATTTATTTTGTCTTGTATTATTGGTTTAAAAATAATAAATATAAACAAGCTTATAATAAAAACCACCAAATGTAAGTTCCAAAAATATTATATAGCTGTGCTGTTCTTGAAAGTTTGGGAGACGAGAGTTCGATGGAGCTTCGTAAAGAGAAATTTAATGCGGCCGACTCTGACAATGATGGCTGGATAACTTATGACGATTTTTTATCGGTAACTTTAATACATTTTTATAAATGGAAAAGGAAAAAAAACTCAGCCCCTATCTTCTTTATCTTTTCTTGTAGGTCAATAAAAACTTGTGTAATTTTAATAACTTTTATCTAAAATATTATTTTTTTAGTTAATAAGTATTATTTTTCAGCTCGTTTATCACTTTAGTCCACAGGAAAACGGCAATCTGACAGGATTAGCCCAACTGTGCAACGATGTTGCAGATAACATACAATTTGTTAGCAATCTTACTGTAGGCGAACAGTTAGAATATGGGTTGTTTTAAAATAAAATAATCATTAAAATATATAGTTTTATTGGTATGTACATAAACATATTTATGACTTAGGATGTGCAGTTTAGCATATCCTGAACTCTGAAGCCGGTATACTAACATAAATAAATTTAGAGCAATTTTTCAACTAATGAATAAGTGACAACTTCTAGTTCCATTTAGAGACTTAGCGCTAAGGTATCTACCGCAAATTCTTAACGTAGTTTAAGTTACTAATTAGTATCTCGGAGGCTGATCGTCACTCAAAGAGTCAACGTCACTGAGCTCATTAAGAGCTGGGTCGCAGGCCAGGCAACTGCTTCCAACGTCCTTCCAGCACTCATCGCAGTATACGAACGGACACCTAATGCTGGAACAGTTATGCCAGCTCTTATCACAACCTGGAAAATTGACAGTATTAAATATTTAAGCCCCTTATTTCGTAAAAAAAATGTAATTTTCACCATCGTGTAACACAATAAAAAGACAAATTAGAATGTTTCAAAGACTTGCCCTACGTAAACTCAACCATCAAATTGATTTAAAATTTTGCAAAAATCTCTCCAAACGACAGTCAAAGTGAATTAGAGCGTCATACAGACACATAGCGAAAAAGGATATTTGACTTGACATCTACATACGTTTTTTCAAATTTGGTTCAATTTCTTCGCATATAAGACACTTCATCCTCGCGAGGGGTAAAGCTCCCAGCCATCCCAGCAGCTGTGGGAACCTTATCCTTAAACTAAGAAGATTTTCTCCCGACAGATAGTGAGCCCTCACTGCTTGCACGGCTTTTTTACGTAGTGTTTTCTGCATTCTTAAACGTTTTTTGAGAATATCGTTGTAAAGATGCAATATTCTCTGTTTCTCGCGGTGTGGGTAGAAAAAACCACAGATTAGTCTGAAATTATTTGTATGTATATAATAGAGCATATAGCATGAAATTAATTCAGCATCTAAAAAAAAAACAATAAATTGTATCTAAAAAATTAAAAATTTAGGGGTTTGAAAGATAGTAGCCGATTCTCAGACTTCCTGAATATGCATAAAGAAATTCATAAGAATCGGTCGAGCCCTTTCGGAGGAGTATGGGATCGAACATAGTGACACAAGAATTTTATATATGTTTATATTAGAAATATGATATGGCTTTGACATAATTTTTTAATTTAAAGAAATTCGCACGCCCATCACATTTCATCAATATACGCCCAAAGGAGTTCTTATGGCTTAAATAATAACCCAACTTAAATCCGCACCTTCGTAATCTCAATGTGTAAGGATTTAAATACAATAGCGCTAATATCCACAAATATCCTCCATATATTTTAAAGTAATAGCTTGGCAATATTGCATGGGGCTGCGGCAGACATTCCTTGTTGGATAAGCATATTGAACTTGTGTTCACTTTACCCAAACCATCGATAACTTTACGAACCATGCTTGCAAGGAATCCTTTTCCTTCCACCTATGAATTTTGGAAAATGAATGTTCTGTAACTATTACGCTTATTTGATAAATATTGGCCAAAGAATTCGTGTGTCTTTAAAATTGAATTTTTTGTCGAAATCTTAGACAACAATGAACGGCCATTTTATAAACAAAATGCGCCCAAAGACATTCTTCATAAACTTGGGTCAAAAGAAATTTAAATTACTATTTTTAGACTAGTTGCTATATAAGAAGGGCGTCTCGCAGTGGAATTCTTCATTCGTTAAAGTTTAAACGAACAAAAACATACAAGGGAAAATTATAAAAGTAACTTTATATAATAAACTATGGTTTTATCTATGACAAGGAATTATAATGCGAAAACAGTAAAAACATTTACCAGAACATCCAAATCTCCAATCCCATAATGTTCCGAGTCTGCGTACTGCCGGACCACATCCAAGGCTTCGTAGAAGAGACGGTCCAGCATCACGAATGTTGTTGCCGTTATAGCTTCCAGGGTTAGCTTTAAGATCTGGGTGAAAATTTTGCTACGTTCAGACGGAATGTATGACGTTAGGTAGACGTCTATATAACGATTTCTTTCCATCTGAAATTGATTATTAAATATCGGGTAAAAATTCCATGAATATACGAATTAATGATTTGATAACGAATAAGGATTTGTATTCTACTACAAAAAAATCACGAAGTATTTAATATAAAATATATAAATTCAATATAAGTAAAACATATGATATTTAGATATTCAAATTCAAAAATCATTTAATCATATAGTTAACACATTGTACACATACTAAAGAATTACTTCAATACATTTAGTTCTTAGGATTAAGGGCGTAGGAAAACTGAAAAAATACTTCGCTCTTTTCGCCATTTTTTTACACAACGTTTGTAAGGAGCTGCAACCATTACACCATGTTCCACATGACATCTTAAGTAATTAATAATAATAACATAAATTAAAAACAAAGACTTGTCCTCTATCAGCAGGAGGCATGGTGAAATAGGAGCACGCACTTACACTCTCGTGGGAACAACACGCAAATACATAGTCGAAATAACTAACATCACCGCATACACGAATTTAAGTACGACCAGTCACCACAAGTAGCACCCGTTCACGAGTATGACGCATGGCCAGCCATCGGCCCACTCGCTATTAAAGCTTTATTAAGTACGGTACCTAAGTACATAAGCTTTTATATCAGTAATGCCTATCATAATTTTAATTACCTAAAAGCTTCTTAATTATATAAAATTATAATTAATATACTCTAACCTTTTTTAAGGGTAGTAACGTACACTTATGTTTATTTCTACGCCTCTGATCAATCCTCTTAAAGTATCCAGTTATATACACATTGTCATAATCGATATTAGTTAAATATAGGTCGTGGTAACTTTGCGCCGACGTCACAAGTCGTAGAAAGAGAAGAACCAAACAAACATTTACTACTAGAATAGCTTCTTGCATTATACTGTATTTTTCTTTAAATGCATCAATTAATTGTTCTGCGCTCTCTTTAGCTAGTCGACACTGAAAAAGTTTCATTATTGAAGACTGTAGCTTCTGCGTACTATTATTTACAGGACAAGAAATGAGAATAGCCGGCATTTTGACGATTCGAGCTATATTGTGGCCTAAGGTTAAATTGTTTTTTTTTACGGATAGCGCTGTTGGTCGAATGGGGTTTTTCCCGCGACTAGCGCAAGCGTCTCCTGAGACTCGGACCTCGGCTTGGCCCGTTGCGGGGTGGTTAATCGCCTGAAGGGCAGGGCAGAGTGAGCGAAGTACCACCAAAGTAAGGGACCTAGCCTTCCCCTGGGAAGGCGGTATTTTCCCGGCTTTTAATGTGCCATTAGCTACTGTTATTTGATCATCCGGATCCGTTTAGACGTATCGGGGCCTCCTACTGGCCTTTTTTGTTCAGTAGTTATACCTAATTTACGCTAAACCTCGACTCTAAATCTTACCCTAAGACCGGTATAGGGTATAAGACGCCACTAGATAATCTTATTGTGCAAACATACATGCGGATCATTTTCAACAATTTCTCGCACGGATATGTTGACGTCATTAAGATTTTCAATAAATGTGACCGAAGCTTTCTTCAAATACATATAACCTTCTCCCAGTCCGGGATCTAACTGAAACGTGGTCTTGATATGATTTATCTATTATTATTAATATTTTAAAACAAAAGGCTGGTAAAGCACTTGCGTACCATGATTGAGGTGCATTTTTGCTTTACAATTGTATCTGGAAAGGAAAATTGGTATTTAACTTACCAGCACCTCATATTTGCAAAGAGAACCAAGATAACGGTCAATATGACAAGCATTTTGAAGCATCAATGGCCAGCACACGATACCAGCATGTATCGGTAAAATGCTATAGCAAATATTATATGAAGAAGAAAATATACGCATACAGTAGATAACTGCGTGGTCAATTTGTCTTTGACAGCGTAGTTCTATCTTTTGTACGTATTTCTTCCAATATTGAATTGGTTCAGGGTCTTTGGCAGATATCCTAAAAAAATATAAACAGGCTGGCAATTACGTCTTTTAAAGACAATATTATCAAGAAATTTAAATCAGTTAAAACCCGTATAACGTTAACAGTGACGTAGGTGAAATGTGGGCTTATTATTTAAAAAAGCGAAAATAATTATTTAAATCGTAGCAGTTATATAATATATAATACATTAGTTATTTATAAATATTAAAAAAATTAGTGAATGTTACTAGTTCATTATCTAAATACATGTGTTAAATTGATAATTATACGTTACAAAGATGCAAGTGTCGGATGCGAATTAACGGACACTTCCGGCCTTCATGAGTCAACATCTGTTCTTTATGTTACTGTAAAAGCTCGAACTGCAGTAAATTCCAGTAAAACCTAAGATCTACCAATTCCTAATGGTAAATGTCCAAAAAGGTTTGCGATTCGAACTCTTACCACCATTCCGTTGGTAAATCTTAGGATTTACATTAATGGCACGGTAAATGTTGAAAAACAAAAAAATGCACCTGCAGATCATCAGGATTACCTTGTAATTCTAAGTGCCACTATAGCCATCCGTGTTGTAACAAGTGAAATATTTTTTTTAGGTACCTTATGTAGGTGAGATATTCAGAGATAAACGTTATGTGTTTTTTTTCAAAATAATTTAAGTAAGTTGGTATTAGTTTGTACTTATTACTATCATATGATACCTTTATAATACTATGTACCTGTTTTGTCTAATAGTTCATTAAACTAAATAATTAAGAATTACACATTGTTTTATTCCTAAAACCAACATCTACCAGCTGACAGTGGTAAAACCTAGCATATACTGAATTCGAATGGTAAAAGCTCGAAAAAATCGTCGTATTTTCAGAAATTCTTACATTTTCCAACTCATGTCGGTAAATCCTAAGACTTACACTTAAATCTTAAGATTAACCGTAATTCGAGCTTTTACAGTAACATTTATAACAGAAAGTTAAGAAAAGGATACATTTTGACAAATATGAATTAACTTTAAAATATTTCTTATAGTTCATTTATTATATCCTGTACAATATTATTATTTAAAAACAAGGGTATTGTATTACCGGTATTTCTCCTGAATTTGATCAGATTTATGTCGAAAATAGAACATGTCGTCGACAATATCATTCTCCACTTTCGTATCCTGAATTTCTATACTGTTCTCCAGTTCGATTTCTATAGGATTTACAATGTCTCTAATAGACCTAAAAAAAGCATAATACTTTAAATTACTTAATATAGCTGACGTCAGAAACACTCGAAACTTATATCATGAAATCCTCTTTGTATTATTTAATTATTTACATACGTGAATTAATAATAATATTACAAGGGCCTTAATCAATGTGTAATTTAATTGCCCGAAATGTATTCTATACTTCACAAAACTTAAACACCAAAAGATAGATAAATTAATTTTAAAGTTTTCAACACTTTCCAAGAATATATATTCATTATTCCACTATGCAAGAGTCTAAATACAAACCTTAACGTACCTTTGAATTCATCTGTTTCAGGGTTCATACTCAGCAGCGCCCTTCTGAATGGATTAGCTATAAAATTGTATTTTATTCTTGTGATATTACATGACAGCTGGGTGCTACAGGCAAAGACGCGAACCACTTCTTTCGCATTAAAAGCCATATTTGTTATAGGACCTATAACGTTCGGTACCAAATCACAATTAATAAAAATGCTAATGGATTGCAGTACCTATGCTTAATCCTCCGTTCTTATTTCTATAGTTTTCATACGTAACATGTTATAAACTTATAAACGTTTATTTCAATATACTCATTAAGGATGTTTTTATCCTAAAATTTAGTCCTACGTTATTAAATCAAATAGTTTCAACCATTATATTTTCCGAAAAAGCCTCCCATCGAAGTATTTCGGAATCATATCGGCCTAGAGCGTCAAGTCTAAAAAGCGCGAGCTTCTGATGAGCGTGATAGTGTTCCTGTACATCGGCGGCTGCACGTTCGACCCTATTCTATAAAACATAACGAAGAATAGTTACCTGCAACGACGTATGCAAGCACAAAAGCCTTTAATATACCTCTCCCAGCTTTCCCACAGTACATCGGCAGTAAAAGTACAGAAATACATCTTATTTGAATTGATATTGCGTTTCCTATACCTAAAATGGCGACAAAACATAAAACCGGCAGCTACGATGGTGCTATTTAAAAAATAAACTTACCTAAAAATACACTTATTATTAATCCCAGCGAAAGACCAATTGTGTTGGGCAAAATAAACTTTAATAAATAATGGAAGTAAGCCTGCCCAAGGCAGAAACCTAATATGAATGCTGTCAAACATTTAAATGTTCCTTTATGTCGATCAGAGAAAATAAACCAAATGCAGGGGCAGAGAAATCGTAAAGCTACTTTGGAAATTCCTTCCAGCTGTTCTAAAAACACCATTGCAAAAGTTTTCTCGCAGATTAATATTATTTCAATATTAAATGTCATCAGGATCGAACTTTGACATAAAACAACAAAATGCATAAGTGTAAATATGCTCTGTAGTAAATGTAATAAAGCTGAATATAATTAATATTTTTATAAACCATTTCTCTATTACTTCATCGCGTTCATGAAGTTTAAAACCACGTTTTAACCCTAATATAAGCTGCAATTAATTTATTTTGTAAGTAACCGTAGACGAATACCCGTATAACGAATCGTTTCCATAAATAATGGAAATTAAAATAAGTGATATTATTAAGAAATTTATTCATAGTTAAGTCTTACAAAAGTCAATACATTAGAATGTAAAGAATAAAAGCGAAGAGGAGCGACCTCGCAATGCATTAAATGCTGATTTTTATAAATTAAAATTATATTTCTAATGACAAATTTGAGACCTTTAATGTTTTATTTAGACACGCACTAATTTTTTTTTTTGTAAAATTGATTAAGTTCGTATGAGCTATGAATGCACGAGTTTTCTATTCTACACCAACATTTTACAGGAAATGGCCAACAATTTCTTAATTCTGCGGGAATCGTTAATCAAGAAATATGGTTTAAAATACTTTATTATAATAACTTATTTCTGGGTACTTCACATTGTTGGCATGTTACGTTTATTAAAATTATTGTGCACTAGACATTCGAGAATATTCGTTTGAACTAGCGGCCGAGTTCACTCTGATGATAAAGTTTGGGATCCTTATCATTCGTTATAATAGACATTTAAATATTATGAATTTGGCTTTTACCTAAACATTTACAACCAAATTTCTACAACGTTTTAGGCCTCGAATACAAATAAGTTATAACATTAGTCAAATAGAAGCCGGCTCCATCAAACATCGAGTTGACGTGTACAGTAATATCAGGTATTTGAGTTAGACTGAAGGACAGTATTGTTATGAAAAAGACCTGACTTTGCCGTTAAAAGTGAACCCTTTAATAACTGTTTAAGGGTTATATCACGTTTATAAATAAGTTTATTAATTAGTTAAGAATTTATTCTCTTCTATATACGAGTTTAGTACACTCGCTCACAGTTAGTTGCACTTTATTAATTTGAAAAATGAAATGTTCTCCGACTGTCCTTCTGCCTACAAGCCAGTGACGTCAGATGGTCTTAAATTATGGTTAAATTTACGCGAGTGCCGTGGGAGGGTTCCCGGCCATATCATCTGTGACTTCTGTGACCATGGGCTCTTCGTCTTCTTCCGGTATTTCCAGCACTCGAGGTCCGTATAGAAGCAGATATGCACAGTGCCAGTCACCTGCGAGGAAGTGGCCTTTTTAGTATATAACTACTAGCTGACCCGGCAAACGTTGTTTTGCTATGTATATTATTTCTAGGAAAATTTTGTTTAGTTCAATAAAAATAACTATGTACTAATAAAAAATAGGGTTTGATATCGTAGAGGAGTGGAAATAAATACGACCCGTATGTATTTTTGTATGCTGTATCATAAAAAAATAAAAACAAAAAGTTGACTAAAAAATAAAATTATGCGGTGGACACTCCTTTATCGCTTAGGGGTTTGAAAGATAGATAGTAGCCGATTCTCAGACTTACTGAATATGTATAAAAAATTTCATAAGAATCGGTCGAGCCGTTCGGAGGATACTCCTGTATGGGAACCAACATTGTGACACGAGAATTTTATATATATAGTAGTAGAATATTTATCGATTAAATTAGACCAATTTTGTTTTAACATGTATTCATTGACATGAATTTGACGATCTGCTCACTTCGAATTGTGTTGATCAAATAGTACCTTTATTTATCATTAGGCCTTCGTCTTAATTTGCCCCGAACTCAGATAGGTATATATATAAAAACTCGCGATGTCACGAGCCCTCTGGCTGACTGACCTCCTCCACTCAGCTTGAGCACCTCCTCCTCCGAGACGGGCGTGACGGTATCGTCGTCGCAGCGCAGCCAGGAGTCCCCTCGTGCCACCCAGGCCACGTAGTGTCCCGACGAAGAGGAGCGACCGCGGTGGGTCAGCACGGCCTGCAAGCGGTAGAAGCCGCTGTTGTTGCTGCCTATGTCTGGAATCACGTTTTTATCGTACCAATTACATTACATATAGGTTGTTGGCTTTTCATTTCCAATTTCATTTACCTGAATTATGTCAATGTTTCGCAAACGCAAAATTTCAGAGTTCGTTATAAAATAAGACTAAATTTATTAAATTAAATATGTTGAAAAAGCTTCAAAGGGCTTCAAGCAAATAAATTTATTTATAATTCATTACAACACAAAAATTTAAATTCTGGACTTTTTTGGTTATATAGTATTACCTAGGACTACCCTAGTTCTAGGTAATACTATATAACTAACATAAAAACAATTATCAGTTCAGTCTTCATTTATTATTTTTTAAAGTTATTGTAAACTAGGATTACCATTTTCAAACCAGTACGGCAACAGTTTCTTTTTTCTTAGATCCTTGTTGTCCCCTTGGTTCTTTTTACGAGCGGGGAGCGATTGTTGTACAGCTGCATCATCCAATTCCTAAAAACCATTCAATGCCTTCATAATAAGCCCTTTGTTCAGATTTCATCATTTGAACATCAACCAACTGCTGACATGGATCACGTGTGATCTTAATCTTAGCAGCTGAAGAGCAATTTGAATATTGATCATCTGCTGACTTGGCTCACATGTGTTCCAAATCTTAACAGCTGAAGATTCGCAATACACCAACAGCTCACTAGAATTATATCATGTATGTGTGAATAGGTGCAATTAGTATTTAAGATAATGTAATTGATTAATAAATTAGATTTGAATATTGCTCTGTCTTATTCATTCCTCGCTTCCTCTCAAAGTGGCGAAGACTACGTCAAGCCCTTAATTACCGTGGTGAGCCTGCCCGGTAGCTTTGAGATAATCCCACCACCTCTAACCTTTGATCCTACCCGTAGGGCTCCGTCTGTTACCTTAGGTCTCTTGGTGCAGACATCCCGTACTTATTTATATATTCACTATTTATGTGTTAGGGTACATCTGTAGGGCTTAGGGATCCGTAGGTTTATTGCTCACCCTCTCATATATTTAGTCATCTAGTGCAGCTTGCTCAGACCAAAACATTTATTTTTACCATGGATAAAAACACAAAATCTTTAATTGTACATTAAAAAAGCCAAGGCAACGACTATCCAGAAGTTCCGTTTAACATTTAATGCATGAATGCAAAGAATGTAAATAATATTACCTTGAATTTGTTCCTCATAGGCGTCAACCTCTCCTGTAGTTCGGGTGAACACAATTCATACACATCAAGGTCGAGTGGAAATTTCACATCTTTCAATATCTTAGCGTTAATAGCTTCCTTTTCTTTGAAATAGAATCGGACAAATTGAACAGTTAAGTAAGCAGGCAAACGGCTAATTTTGCTCTGAAATGTTCAACATTTTATTTTATAATCAATTATAAGTTTCTTCCAAATCCTCTGTGCAGGTTAAAAAATAAGATTATCAAAATTATTCAACTATATATGAGTTTTCTAATCCACATTCAAATTATATAGAGTTTACTATTGTTCAAAGTTATACTCACTGTTTTAGTATAAACAGCATCTCTTCCCAATGACTCTGACATTTTTGTAATCTGTTCAACCATTTTCTGAAGAAAAAAAAAACAGTTTATTTACTTACACTTCGTCACATTTCCAGAAAAACAAATAACATAGTACATAAAAATTATAAGAAATGCATCAGGCGGCCTTATCGCTAACAAGCGATCTCTTCCAGGCAACACTAGTAAGGAAAAAACAAAAAAATAAATATGATAGAATAAATCATATAAAAAAAATTATAGAATCATCGACAACAATTTAAAGTAGCATTTTTTTTTTAAATGTAATAAACTAAAAACTAAAAAGCTAATCTCACGGATTGATGAATTGCGATGCAATACAAAAAATTAGAAATAAAGTAAAGTAAAAGTAAAAAAAGTTTCACTTTAAAAAAATCATTTAATCATGTAGGTAACATAATGTACACTTATGACTCGTCAGTACAGAAATACATATTAATGCTTCTAATTTTACATTTACTGCCGGTTCTCAAATCAAGGGCGTAGAACGGAAGAGAAGAACTGGCAATAAACTCTCCGCCACTCTTTTTAATCCCCATTTTTCTTTTCACAACGTTTGTAAGGAGCAACCATTACACCATGTTCCACATGACATATTAAGTAATAAATAAAAATGTAAAAAAAAAGCAGATTTACTTATGGGCGCAAGAGTTATACCTTTCTTTGGCATTATTAAAAATAGTTTTTGATTGCATGCAAAATAATTTTAATTACAATTAAATAATCAAAGACTGGAAAAGAAGTCATTATAGTCAATTAAGTCTCAGTTTACAAAGGTTTGAAAAATTAAATTAAATAATTAATTAGTTTATTATTATTCTCTTTGTTACATTAAGTGTAACTATAAATTCTATGTAGTTAAAAGTATATATAATTATATATTTAGAACATCTCTACCAAACACTTTAGAAGTAAAATGTTGATAGACTTTGGCAGTATATCAGCAGCAATATAAAATTAATAAACTTTTCTGGGGGCTAATTTGAAAAAATAATCAAAACTCCTTTATTTGTTTAAAAGGTCAAAATGACAAATGTCATTATGGTCATTCAAAATTACTTGGCATACGAACTTCACGCATATTCTATTTCTTTTTACTTGTAGATTGTCTTATTCCTATAAAAAAAAAAAAAAAGCAACTAAAACTCTTTCGCGCACGCCATTATTACATTTAATATTTACATATCAAACTCCAACAATCTTGTAAAACAGTAGACTTATAAAAGGTTGTAACGCACGTGCAATACTTGAATAAGCATTAAATGGTACTCTCACGTAAATTTGTTTGACAATAAAACTGAAAGCAATAATCGCCTTAAAAGTTGCATTATGTAACCTGCAAAATATAACTTCAATAATAACATAAATTTAAAGAAAATGCTGACTTTTCCTCTATCAGCAGGAGGCATCGTGTAAATGGGCCTTTACATTCTCGTGGGAACAACACGCAAGTCTAAGTCAGATTTTTGCTATTGTTTTTAGATGATGGAAGAAATAAGTTGGAGTACTTACAGATCTAAGGCCAGACTGTAAATATTTGACATCTTGTGAGATAAAACACGATAGCTGAAGAAAAGACTCTTCCGACTTGGTTGACGGCTCTTCAGCTTCACTACACACCCACTCCACATCCAGAGTACCACCAAAATATTTTTCAATCACTGATTTACTAAAAGACAACAAACAATTGTATATTATTTTTATATTTATTATTATAACTTGTGACAATGTTAATGCATCTCTAAAGTTTCATATAAAAGGCATAATCTTGTTTATGTTTTGGATATAGTGGATTTACCTCCCAGTGAGTTTTGAAACTTATTAGTTTATTATTATAAATTCTTTATTTTCTCCCATATAACATTTGAGGGAATATCTTATTGATCAGAGCACAAACAATTTTGTCATTTTGCCTTTAGTTATATAGTACCTGTCTGATCCTGGCATAGGTAGCCTTGCCCGCAGTGCCCTAACAATCTCTGTCCAACATTCAGATGCATCTTGCTGAGCTAATACTCCTCCAGCTCCCCGTTCAGCGAGCCTTGGGGCAGCAGCATGAAGAGCCAGGAGCAGTCTTGATACAGATGCTGCGCAGGCCCCGGGACCCCCACTTTCAAGATTTTTCATTGTGTCACTTAGGGCTGCAGTTAGACCACCAGCTGTGCCACCCCCAGATGCTGATAAAGGCACATCAATAAAAATTAATATCTAAGATTAAGAAACATTTTATATCCAAGAGAAAACTTGTGCAATTTAATGGTAACTTACTAGGATCATAATCGAGCAATGCATTTCTTAACTCTGGTACAGTTTTAAGACATTGTACTGTTGCATTCATATAACATGTGTTCCCTAAATTTATGAGCCCTTCAGGAAGATCCAGCTGTATAAATAAAACAGAGTTTTAGCTTACATAGCTCTTAGAAAAATAAGATATCAATAAAGGAAAATCTGCAGAATATCTTTAATTTTTTTACAAATATGAAGAGGCACTTTTATAATTATTATTTTCAATTAATTAAGGATCTTTCGACAAAAAAATGTTAATGTTAATTAATATATGTTTTTATATTCGTAAATTTTAAATTTTTCACTTACAGCCGTTGCCAGTTCAGACTCATTCATATCCTCCACAAACTTAGTTTTTTCCACTGGAGCTGTAGGCAAATCTTCTTCTTTGCTACCCATTACTAGCACCAATGCATTCTAAAATAAATAAAATTTGCCATTGGTGTACTTTTCTAATACATATCATATATATGTTTCAGTAATGGTGTTACAACCAGCTACAGTTAGGCAAATTATTAAAGTCAGTCAGTCATTTAAATAGATTAAATATTTCTTTATTTCGCCAATATTGCTAGATCTATAAAATAACAACTATTCAATTGTCAATAGTTACATTTATTTCAGAAACTTTATCAAAATTAAATAACTGATGTGAACAAACTAATTGAATCACTCTTTTTAAAAATATATCCACAGGTTGTGCTTTGCCATAAATCAGGTTTTTGCTTTGTCAATTATTATTTGAGATATAATTAACATCAAAAATTACTTACATTACTTAATTTGAAATTGGCCCATGAATCATCTCTCAAGGTAACACCTTTGCAAACTACCTTTTGTCTTTCAGGCTGAACACCTGTCAGGGCAAATATTTGTGCCTTGAATACCACAGGATCATCATCTGTATTTACTTCAACATCCTTGAACAGCTCCTTTCCCCATTTGACTTTAACTAATCATAAAAACAACAAATCATGAAAAAGGCAATGTCAAAACAATAATATAGTCAAAACAATAGCTTCCCTGAGGACATACCCAAAATGTTTACAGTGTTGTTGTCTTAACTTAGGTTTTTACTTATAAAAACCTAAAGAAGACTTCATACAATTTCATGATTATTCTAAATGAAATTTTTTTTTTTTAAATGAGTATATCTATGTAAACGAGCAGAGGCTGTTTTTTCGCAAAAGAATCAGACACCAACATAGTCCTGGAATTTGAGTTCCCAACATACAGAAATCCTCTGAACAGTCAGGTCACTCCGTGAAGCCTGCGAAGTGCCCAGGAGACTTGTGGTTCTGGAAGGAGCTAGGCTGGCTTAGTTAGCCAGGACTTTAGGCACAATGGACCTTATGAGCGCCTAAGTGCAGAAACTGTGTCCACCAACCATATACCATATCTATGTAAACGTAAAAGTTTAAACCATATTTTATTTATCAGTGCAAACATAGCCGGCATTTTATACGCTAAGTCATCCTTGACACAATATATGGCACCATAAATATGGGTGAAACCGTAACAATGACCAAAGAAAAAGTTGAAACATATTAAACCAAGCACGTAAATTCTATTCTTTATTTAAAACCATCTTATGAACTTATTTACACAGTTTACGTTCCTTTTGGAGTCATTTTCATAACCTCTACCCTATCGAAATGAGTAAGCATAATTATAAAACGAATGTTATCGTACCTGATACTTTAGGCATTTTTATATATTATCAGTCGAATATGATGAATACAAAACACCCGCAAAATCAATAAATGAAAGTCACAATATTTCAGTTTTGCCGTTTACAAACTACAAGTTTCTTTTCTTACTGGTTTCTTGTGCTTGATTTGCAAGTTTTCTGTTTGACTTTTGATATGATTGTTCTTTTCACATTCGTCATGACTTTTAATGTCAAGCACATAAAGATGTCAAGTCAACATGATGAGATTAATGTCAAGTCAACAGTGAGTAATGCCTATTGACATCAACTAACAGTAGCACAGATATTTGATATTACAGATTATTAAAACCTTCCTTTGATTTTATGAGTATTGGAAATTTTTCTTTTAAATAAAGATGAAGAATCTATTTCAATATATTATTAGACATACCATATCAAAAACCAACGCCACTACCTTCACTGTTCACATGCCGTCTTCAAAATAACTTTAGTTATGAATGAGTTGGTACGATAATTTTACAATTATGCTGCTAAAGAGGTTCATCAATATTATGTTTTCACACCAAAAGTAATTGACCGATAATAGTGTAAACAAATGGGCTATTACCAAGGAAACATAGTAGTAGTATGTATATGGTAATTACAACACACATACACATTGGAAACATAGTAGTAAAATATGACTCTTGATAGGTAAAGTTCTTCATATTTCTAACCCAAAAAAGTCGCGGGCAAAAGCAATTATTATTATTTTTTAGTTATATATGTGCATTAAAACAAGATTTATACGAAATCTTTTAAACTAAGCTTACTAGATGAACTCTTACGAAGTTTGATAATTGCATAGAGGTATATGATCACAAAATCTTGAGAGAGGACATAGGATATAGGCCTAAAAGCTATTTTCATAATTAGCTTAAAAGCTTTACCAGATGAAGCACGTTCGATGAACTTTCCCGTCGAAGCCTGCGGGTGCGCGCGCGCCGCTGCCCACGGCCGCGACCATCAACCAATCCCCGTCACACTCAAATTTCACACGCTAAACGCCAGTTTCCACGCTGACTTTATACCTTGTGCACGTGTAATATGTGTCGAATTTAATAGTGGGAGTGTTGTGAGAGTGGATTAAGGAATGGTGCAACCGTGCCAGAGATTTATGTGAGTATTTAAGTTAGTAAAGTAACAACTAATTACAATCTATGCCAATTTCTATTCATGAATCTAATTAATTATCTTCGATTATAGCCAATACTTTACGGAGGCTTTCTTATTACATAAAGATATTCTTGTATTCCCAAAAAAAAACTCTAAAGTAAATAAAAATTGTTGGGCGTTAAACAATTTTATATGAAGTCCAAGGCCTAGATCCTAGTTTGAAATCTATTCTAAACAACACAAATTAAGGAATATTATAATCTTTTATCTAAAATCTCCAATAATTGATTGATGATATTTTGCGGAATAAGCATGATATAATATTATGAAGCTTTACTTACGTAACACCTACCTATGATTTAACAATGAAATATGATTTCGGCTACTTGACTTAAAACATAATTGCGTGTTTCAATGAGAACACTATTGTACTCGGTATTAATTAGCCTATTCTCTTTCATCTCCTTAACATGTAATTATAAAGACAAGCTACAATTACGCATGAGCTTATTTTAGCATTCATTACTGTAATTATTTTATTTCTACACGTAATAATGCTATCAGGAAGCCTATAAAAAGAATCCACCTGCATGTCAAGTATTTAATTCAACAGAAATTATACAAATAATACGGATATTCAAAAAAGTTTATATAATGCGTGCTGACTATTTTATTCCAGTTTATATTAATTATTAATGTTTCAACGATAGTAGGAAACAAATAGGTATATGTAATAAGACAGCAATAATATATGTACCTATATCATACGTTTATTTGAAAGCTACTTTCGTGTATTAATGAAGAATGCTGACGTTCCTGTAAAAGCCATGTAGTTCAATTACCATCGCATAATATATAAACTATAAAAGTGTTTTCTCAGTAATCCTGTTGTGTTAAGGATAAGAGGTACATATCGTGTGACCAGAATATTAACGTATGGATATTAGTCTGTGTTGAAGGTTATTTACCTATTATTCTTAGCGGCTGTTAACTGATTTAAACGTATAATTATTTGATGCAATTTCAAATATTAAAAGCTGTTCTTTAACATTATAATTAATATTTTTGAATTAAATATATAAATTTTTTTAAAGTTATTTAATAGGTGTATGGAAACGATTTAATAATATGTTTGTAGAAGTCAAAATTATTTTATCATATAGGTAACACAATGTACACTTATGAACGTCAAAAAAAAACGAAATGCTTCTAATTTTACATTTACTGGCAGTTCTCAAATCAAGAGCGTAGAACGAAAGAGAAAAACTGGCAATAAACACTTCGCCATTTGCAGTCCTATCTTATCTCTTAGAATATAAAAACATTCGACATTTGCAAGTCTGTACGCAATTCGCAAAGCTTTTTGTAGCTATGCGAAGAATTTATAATGATAGTCAGGCTACCTGCGCTAATGGTCGCAATCTTTAAATCCACACGTTACAACTTTGTAATAGAAACATTCCTTTGATGTTCTTATAAATTATACTAGATGACTTTGAGTTTTTACAGAATGAATGTGACGAATATACATACACTTGTATGCTCTTCCAATTGCTTGATTTAAAATTCTCGAAAAGTCGTGTTTAACAAACTGCAATGTAAAGAATAAGTAGTGTCGATTAATAATAATACTTTAATATTCTACTGACGAATATGAAAATCGTATCCGTCACTAAATGATAATTGTTACGGTAATACTTTCTCGCTTATGAGACTGATTCCATAGAGTTTTACACAGAAATCCATTATTGTGAGGTGAAACATGTCGTGAGAGTACCAGCGGTTAATTAATTTATTGCGAGATTTACCAATTTCGAAAGCTAGGCAATTAATATCGTTACTAGAACGAGCTTAAAAAAGGTGATAGAAAGAGAATCACATTCGCTTTTTTTACGTGTTCAAACTAATATAAAATGGCAATACCAATTAGGGTTTAGTAGTTGTTTACAATCAGTGTATCCTATACTTTACTGTAAAGCACTATAGATTATGCTTATAAATGTTTTACGTCTTTTTTACGTCTGTTTGCAAAAAACAAGTATTTTAGGTGGATTTTAAGATATTTGTGCGTAAACTGGTTTAATATCTTGATTGTGGGGTTGTTTTGAAGAGGTTTTTTAAATTGTTTCTAGATTTTTATGCGGTGGGTCTAGCGACATTGATTTAGCTCTATACATAGACTCGATACTCTATGCAAAATCTAGGGTGAGCTATCTCTTTAAGTTATAATATTGATAGCTTTCTTAAATGTCAAATGGTGTATAAAAATATCTCCGAAATGTTAATTGATATAATCCACGACACAAACATTTTTATGGGTTGATTTTGGATTGCCTAAGGCCTAAGCGAATTCTATTTGCTACAGACTACTGTGTTAGAAAATCCCAATGTGTCAGTAATTGAATTTAATATTCAACTTCGATCCGTATCTAAAGTCACATTATATCAATTATGTCAAACTTGGAACAGTAAAAATAGTTTAACTTGAAATTAGATTATGGCTATAAAGACTGACAATTTATCCTTTTTCCGATTTTGGGGCGAAAAAAACCGTTACTAGAACGTTCTAATATGAATAGTGTAAATGAGGCTTAAATCCGTTAATATAAGGTCGTCGTCCAGCCACTGTCAGTCACGGTTCACGCCTTCAGATTCATATCATACCTCTTCAGTACACATATTCTATTTCTATAAGAAATATATGAAATTACACTTAACTAATAGCTGCAGCATACTTATAGCATCTCCCGTCGTTAACTTATTAGGTATATATATTGATGCGAGAAATCGTTTTAAGGGTTAGTAATAACTTTTTACAGTAACATTTTTGTGTTTGTCATCATAAGCTCACGGGGGAGTGTAAAGGTAAAAATATAGTCTGTATAACATTTTGATGACTTCATTTCTAAGATACCACTAACATCCTCTCCTATTCCAAAATGTATTTCTGGTCACAATATTGTATTAATCGCTTCCAAACTAATAAGAAAAAACAGTTTCTTCATTTATTCGTTTATTAATAAAGTTTTAAAACAAAGTGCCTGCTTATATATAAAAAATTGATATAATACAAAAATATTATATAGGTATATAAATTTGGTTTAATAATTCAATAAATATCTATAATATTAATATTACAATTTGCTTATATAGTAGGTGTGTATACAATAATGGTGGTAAAATATTCTATATATTACAAAATTCATCCAATTGAAGGTAAAACTGGCTATGACCCTAACTTCGAGCATTAAGTAACTGTAAGATATTGGAATTTATTATTACGGAAATAGCCGACTGACATACAAACTGTGCGGAAGGTGCCTTTAGGTTTCATCATTCTCATATGTTAAGAAGAATTTGGGCAAATACTCTTTTCGAAATGATGTGATACTAACTATATTAACAGAATGTTCTAATTTTATTTTAATTCGTAGTACCTATCGAAGCGTTATTGCAGCCGGATTAATATAAACAATAGCTTTATTAAAGTTATCGTTACACAGTGTTTTTTTATGTGAAAGTTTATTTAAAATATGCTAGACTAAAACATCCTTCTAATATCTAAATATAAAATTAAAATGATAGAAACAAATTGGTCTGACCTTAATACCTTGGAAGATTTAAGAGAAAGTAACCACGCGGTTTTAAAATAAATTTTATAATAATTATTTAAATATCTTGTCATGCTGCTAAGAAAGTAAAAGTATCAAGTTATAGTAATCAAGTTTATTTTATCAATGATTTGACTAAACACAAAGTCATCCTTCGTCATTATTGAGATATCAATGGCTTAATGCTACCTGTGGCGGTGACGACAAAACTATTATGCGTCTGATCTTTTTGGGTCCCCCCCCCGGGGGGGGGGGGGGGGGGGGGGGGGG